TGCCGCGCAATTAAGAATCAAAAGGCAACTTGTATATTGCGCGCTGCAATACATATTTCGAGCTATTTGCTCGCAAGAAACGAAAGAATCTGGCGCAAATTCGCGTCGGATTCAGTGTATGTAATAATTGCGCTCGCGCCCGAGCAAAGCCATCGTGAAAGCTGATCGACAGGTGCAAAATCTGCTATCGCTGCTGCATAGCCATTCGGTGCAACTCACGTGCAGAGGTCCTTTGAACTCGTCGATCAACGCGCCCAACGCATGCACCTAGGCTCACTTACATTATACACTCGTGCACATACACAGCATTATCATCATCGTCGTCGTCATCGTCATCGTTGGGCTTTAAGAGCGACCGATCGCTTTCGTTCTCTCTTTTTCTCGTGGCGTCAAGCAATTGCTCGCCAATTCACCTACCCCCGCATCCGGTGCTCCTCGTCTGCATGCATACGTATATTATATGTATACGATACGAGTATGTATGCGTGTGTGTTGGTACAATGTGTCACATGTGTATCGATACACGCACACACGTATACGCGAGAGAGCATTATTACTAAGCTGCATACACACACACGCACACAGTTCAGAGGTGGAATAGCAGCAGCTCTAAACATGACCTGCACATTTACGTGCGTTCCGGATTCACCGCATGACGTAAAACTCGATATACGCTTTGCTTCTGTACATACTTACTATTTGTATTATGATATATAAATACAACATACGTGTATGCGCATACGTATATATCGGTAACTTCATAATAAAATTGTGTGCATTAGCGATGTGCGTACTTCGATACACGCTATTACTTTGTCGTCGTATGTATACCTTGTTACTTTGCAACTTTTCAATCGAAATTGACTCGTTATATGCGTACTTTTTCCTATCCATTAATGGCATACGTGTATGGCACGTATGCAACAATAATGATCGCATCTGCATCGATTGTTTGATCTTTGTGATGTGCTCCCACTTCGCGGAGTTTCCTCGCGAAATTTTTTAGTAACGAGAACTTTTTTTTTACCCAATTATACAATACGCTTTTATGTAGAGAAATACTCATCGTATACTTTGATTTGTGCTTTCATTGGAAGCAGTAAAATATTTTCTCGATCTCAAAACTGATTAACGGATCAATAATTCATACTTTCAATTATTATATCTTTCAATCAAAATTTTGTGCGTTTCTTCAATCTTGTGCATCGATGAAACAAAAATTATTGCATGATGCACGCTAGCCTTAGTCTCTCTCTCTCTCTATCTCTCTACCTATATCCTCTCTATCTAACATTTTTAGTCTTAAGATCAGTTTATTTTTAATTCAACGATGATTTTCATCTGAACGCATGAAAAATTTAACTTTCATTGTTGGACAAAACTACCAACTGCTCTTGCGATAGTATAGGATATGCGTAAAAAATTTGCGAGGTCCACACAAGGACAAATTTGCTCCTGATAGACTCGAAGGTCATGTAGACTAAGTTTACTTTAGGACTTAAATTAGTGTTTTTGATTTATCAAGATAAAATAAAATCAGATCATCGTGACATTGCACTCTCGTACAAATAAATTCAATCGTCTTGCGCTGCTTTGGTTTCAATTTATGAAGTGGTAAAAAGAATTAAGCAGCACAATAAAATGTAGTAAATTATTGAAAAAAATGAATCACTTCAAAATTAATAAATTTGAAAACAATATTTTTAAACAATTAAATAATTGAAGACCAATGGAAATTATGAAACAATTGAAGAAAAGTTGTATGCGATTTCTCGTCTATACGTAAATAAAACGTTAAATAATACATTCAAATGCCCATATTACAATATCATTTCCGATTTAGAGCCAAATTTACTTTGGTTCTCTTTCGGTACACTGTGTCTAAACAGCCGTCAAAAAGAAAACTTTTTTTTATATAATACAACGTTTTAAGTGTGCTGCTGTTTTTGTTGAATGCTTGAGATTTTATCGAGTCCCAAACAATCACTTTTACAGAAAAGTTTCAATGAAAAAACAACACTTTTACAATCTCATCAAAACCTTGCAAAATGGACAGTTTCGCTGAAAAAAACATTTAGAATTTTTTCGCAAGCTTACGTCGGTGATTTATTTAAATAAAACTCACGCTAAAGACTTCGAAAGCGTATATTACAGAAACGTATCAGCAGAGAACTGTTTCAAGACACTCCCTCAAAATATAAATTACACGAAAAATATAGCAATGTAAAGAGTTTTAAAATCAAAGGATTTCAAAAACTAATCACATCATATCGTCTTACATGTTGATAAAATATCATTTTTTTTAATTTCTCTCTCGCGAAATTAAAGATGTCACTTGCAGTATATCATTTTTTCTTCTTTCTCAACAGGTTCTGAAGATTGATTATAGACATTTCAAAAATTAATTTCAAAGGGATTTATAGGTATTGATCCTAACTGATGAACATCGAATACATTTTATTTTTCCAAAAATATGTGCTTATAACACTAGAAATAATTAAAAATAATCACGCTTGACGATATTTTTATTTCGATTCGCAAGCTCAAGCAAACGATTTGATCCAGAACGTCTATGCAGTCGGTACATTCTGCACTAATCATTTCTAGCTGCAGCAAAATACGTTGGGCATTGTGACTCCGTGATATAAACGTACTTGCGTCACAGAGCATGCCCATCCAATGATACGATGACATTTATTTGAGCTTAACGAGTTTAACGGGCATAGACGCAATACAGTAACGCACATATGACATATTAGAACGAAAGATGTTGATGTGTCGTGATTTATATAGCCGAAGGTATTTCCAACCACGCGTGACGTAGATGTACTTCGTTTGCTGAAATTATATTTCGAATTTTCAAGTCATTAAAACTTTTTAATTTATTTGTATGAATGCAAATAAATTGAAAGGCGATGAATTGTTTTAAAACCGAAACTAACGGGCAAAGAGCGAATGAAAGGAATACGTATGCACCATTAATACGTAGAGATAGATAAAATGTAATTTTTCTTTTAATTTTAAGTGTATCGAAAACCGAACAGGTAAAAAAATTCAGGCTCTTGAAAATTGGAGTACTCAACTCGAACTCGAAAAAGAAACTCGACTTGATCGAGCTGAGTTTTTTCGCCTACGCTGCTACTTCATTTGAAGAAGTGGTTCGAAACTTCCATAAAACTTCGCGATAAGTAAGGGGTCTGTCCCAATTTCCTCTCATGTTCATATTTTTGCTCAATAATTAATATTGACAATTCAATCGTACTTGAAAGAAAATTAAAAATAATTGTTTAACTGAATGAACATATTCAACAACAATACATTATTTAAGTACTGACATCGAGTTTCGATTCTTTTTTAAAATTTAATGCAAAGTTGAGCGAAAAAATAGGACTCAATTACGACAATATCAGGACAAACACCTTATCATAGCATTTGGCAAAACATAAAAGTGTTAGGCTAATTTTAAAAATTGCTGATAATTCGTTCTTCGCGGCCTTGAGCTCGCGAATATCCCAAAAGCCGAGTAAATGAAAAACGAATGTTTTCTCCGCACTCTCGTCGCTATCACCCGTGATGCCGAGGATGAAAGAGAGCGTCATCACGCGAGAGAGATCATATCGCTCGCCGAAGCTCCAGCTGCATGGAGCAACGCGTCGCATACACCATCCATCCTATATATCGTGGCCGGTGCAGCAGCAGCAGCAGCAACAAACGATCGGAGCGGAATCCCGATGCGGGTCGAGTGCAATATACGCGTATATAGAGTAGGTGCACGCGTGGCTTCTCACACTAAAAGAGGTGTTCATCACCCTAACTTGACAGCAAAAACGTGTAAGCTCTCCCTACTCATCGCGCCTCTCGTTGCCCTGCTGATAGCTGCTCCTATACGCCAGCTATACCACATTATTATATGTATATTAAGGCGTTGCTATGGCAGCAGCGCACATAATGCTATAAGTTGTTTTACAAAAACAAATCACATACTTGTTACGGAGAACGAGCTTGCAAAAAGCTCGTTAACGCTGGAACACGTTGCGACGAGGCATTCGAATTATGAACCTATAAAGTTGAGCTAGAATGTTACTATAGATAATAAAGGGAAAAACTCATCAATATCTCGTTCACCGGTAAAATGTTATGCACCCACATCATCCGTTTTGCCGTGTCGTTTTCAATCATAGAAGAATCAAATAAGCTCTGCCGAATGACGAATCAAAGTAACCCAGTGGCGTCAGTCGCCAACTCATTCACAAATCTATCGCCTCTATCGTGTATCTGAAACATGTATCATCGCTTAAAACTTTTACGCGCACTAAATTTTCCAAGAAGCAGTTCCGTCGAAATAACTTTATAGATTATACTTTTTTGTTGATCCGCGCGGCTGTCACGGGGGCAAATGAAAAATTCAAAGAGAAAATTATTATCGACGATTGTGATAATACGTGCTTGCATTATAATGTCGTCGTCGTCGGGAGCGATCGAGTCTGCATAATAGGACGAGGCTCGTTCGTATAATTACTATCGGTGCGGCTGCGAGCATATCCTGGCGTGTCATTGGCTCAGCGCCGGATATATTTTATTCCGGCGCGCGTCAGCAGGTGTGTCGGATTAACGTCCTTTTCCCGCGACGCGATTCATCCGTGCGGCAAGCGCGAAATAGGCAAATTGACATTATTCGATTTTTCTGACGATTATTTGATTTTCTTGGCAGCGCGCACTCCTACACTTAATTCGCTTTTGAGCTATCATTCATTACACACCGTTCCAATTTCACTCTACCATATAGTCCAACGAGATCAATTTATCCTATCTTTTTTCTCCATTTTTGTTTTCTTTTTTTTTTATCGTCGATTTTGCGAAGCCTACAATTCAATCCTCTCGCGAATACAAGTTTAAAATGCACCCGAAATAAATATAACTGCATACAAAACGGCCCGAAAACCCGTAACAGCTCCTCGATTTATCACTGACATTGTAATTGCATTTTGTATTATACATAGCTAGATCTCGTATGCGACAAGGGCTGGTGGCCGTCCACGTCGACGACGTTCTTCTTCGTCGGCAGCCTGTTCGGCAACGTCGTCTTCGGCTGGATCGCGGACAAGTGGGGCCGTAGAACGGCCTCCCTCGCCATCATCTTCTTCGAGGTCATATTCTCCATCGCGACGAGCTTCAGCCCGAATTACGTCGTCTACACTGCGCTGAGGACCATCAACGGCCTCTTCTTTCCTGCCATTTATCAGATACCATTTATTCTTGGTGAGTATTCGCATAATGATGTTCGAAAAAATCAATCGACTATTATTCTTTTTTTTCGTGCAGCCCTCGAGCTGATGGGTCCAAAGTACAGAACGTTCGCCGGTATGGTGATATGCATTTTTTTCGCCACGGCCATGACGCTGCTGGCGCTTTTAGTAGGTCTTCATAATCGATCGAATTATCGATTTTTACAATTACTTCGTGATTTCTCGAGTTCAACTAACCGATCGCACGTTTTAATTTTTCCAGAGTTACCTTTTAAGGCACTGGTACTCGCTTTCACTTGCGATATCCGTTCCGTTCGTCTTACTCTTTAGTTATTATTGGATAATTCCAGAATCGCCAAGATGGCTACTTAGCAAAAATAGAATAGATGAGGCAGAAGAGATCGTTCAGACAATGGCTCGGGTGAACGGCAAGACGGTGCCGCCCAACTTTCTTCGGACGTTGGAGGTATTTATTGCATTACATTTTATCCAAATATTGATTGTATGGTAAAAAAAATGGAGCACGAAAAACGATTGATAAATGTAACACTACCTCCCTTCAACGAATCGAGATGGAGCTACAGCAGAGACAGAGAACGGCGTGCAACGGCGGCAATACCGATGATCTCGAATCGTACAGCAGGGTGCAACCGACCTCGGCCACGCCGATGGACATCCTCAAGAATCCCAACATACGTAAAAAGTTTTTCATCCTCGCCTTCGACTGGATCGCCAATGCCGTCGTTTACAATGGGCTTTCCTACAATGTGAGCAATCTTGGAGTCTCAGATTATCTGGCATTTTTCATCGGTAGGCAAATCGAGCTGTATATCCCTATCGATAGGAGATCTTTCTTATAATGACACCTTGTTGTGGTAGCTAATTTTTTTTTTTATTTGTTAAAAGTCACAATCCAAGCTACTGAAAAATTATACAGTGATCTTTATGAAGCGATATCGCTTGAAGAAAATTAATTACTCAATATGAATAATGAAATCTACATTGAATGGATAATTAACCTTTCTATATTATAATAGCAGCAATACTTGTAGTGACAATCTAAATTCTTTCTCCTCATTAAATCACAATTGTTGCTATCCTTAGAATAACAAATAATTTATTAGCTATACTTCTCCGATCGTAAAAACGCATTAAATTGATTTTAAAAAAATATATATTTATTGCCAAGGTGGCCTCGTCGAGATACCATCGTACGTCGTGACTTGGTATGCCATGGACAGAATCGGCCGAAGATGGGTTTTGTGCTCGACCATGCTCCTCGGTGGCGTCGCCTGTTTGTCCTGCATGCTGGTACCGGAAGGTGAGAGTAAGCATCATTTAACTAATTATTTTGCTTTTTGTTCCGATGAAAAAAAAAAGGCGAAACCACATTGTGAATTTACGTCGGTGTTCACAGATTACGTGTGGGTGACGGTAACGCTGGCGATGGTCGGCAAGTTCGGGATAGCCGCCTCGTTCGCCGTGTTCTACGTGTTCGTGGGCGAGCTGCTGCCCACTGTGCTGCGCTCGCAGGCCATGGGCATCGCCTCGTTCGTCGCCGGCATCGGACTGCTCGCCTTTCCCTACATCGTCAGTCTGGCGGTCTACTCCAAGGTCCTGCCGCTCATCATCATGGGCACGCTCAGCGTCGCCGGCTCCATCACCTCGATATTCCTGCCCGAGACGCTCAACATTCACCTGCCGCAGACGGTCGAGGAGGGCGAGCGATTCGGCGCCGATTTCAAGCTCTGGTCGTGTCCGACGTTGCCTTCCAGGCGAGAGCAGCTGTAATACATTATTATGAGCATTTTATTTATTGTCCCCCTCCGTTAAAGCATCTGATAAGGAAACTAGTTGAGACAACGAGTTTTCCAAGATTAATTTTCTTCATATGTAGAACATCGTGGCATTGAAATATAAGTGTATAACTCGATAATTATGCACTGATATATTATAAATACGGGCATTGCTAATAGCTTTACACATAGAAAACGAACTAGTACACTTGTACTCTCTACAAGATTTATTGACTTGCCATACGCAAAATTAATTATAATCCTTTCACTTTGAGTTCAATGTCAGTTTTTTTTTTTTTTCAAACTTAATCGTTATCTTTTTTTTCCATATCGCAGAGGCAGAAGAAGAAGCAGCGCAGAGCGAAAAAGCACGGAATTCGTTCCGCTCAAGTGTTTGGTGAACGGGGGTCCGGACGGTCGCAATCCAACGACTCAGGTAGTCGAGGCCGACTCGGACGGCTTGGTCGAGCCCGGAGCATCGGCCAAGGTGTCGGCCAAGGCAGCTAAAGCAGCGGCGGCAGCGTCGCGCAACGGCAAGAAAAATAACAACAGCAGCAGCAACAACAACAGCAGTAGCAGCAACAGCAGCAGCAGCAACAGCATCGGCAACAGCGTGGAGATGGCCGGCAACAGCAGCAGGAGGCTGCATCATCGCCTGCTGCGCGGGGTCAGCTCGAGCGACGAGGAGCAGCTGAATCCGTCGTCGCCCGGCTCGATTCGCGTACCCCCGATCGAGCTGCGCCGGGCCGTGGTGATCGAGGGTCCAGCCGTCTGCACGACGATACTCGCTGTGCGCGCCGATCTGTGAGTCGATTCCGAGGATCGGTGGATTGCAGATACATGTATTGCCTCGAGCGCTAGACTTGGTTTACTCGTTCTTCGTCGCCGTGTGCCGTACACGGAGAAAAAGGTTGGCAGTTAGAAAGTAATCTCTATGAGAAGCAGATACCGACGGTGCGGTAGCTTCGTCGTATGCTATAACGATTTTAGAAGTGAAACTTCCTCATGAGCATCGGATGAGCAGAGAATTGGAAAAAAAATGATGTATACTCTTAGTAAAATTCGGAGTTTCGCGATAATTTTATCGGCAACAAATACCGAATCTATAGAGAAACAAAGATACATATATTGGCATGCAATATGCAAGTTGCAGTTTGGTATATAGTATGCACTATCATATTTACTGTTTATTGTGTATTATTCTACATGTAGTACGTGTATTTAATGAAAAAAGAAAAATGAATGTACACGAAAAAATTTAGAGTTCCAACCTGTAGAAATTTTCTATTGATGTATCGTTTCGAATTTTAATTGTGACCTTCTACTCTACGTGAGCTTTCGGAATTGATAACACCGATAAATATGAAAAATCATGTGAGCAGTATCGATCTCTGCTGTTTAAGGAGAAGCAAAAAATGTTCCAGACGGAATCGATGCATTTTATCTTTAAGCGAAAAAATTTTCGTGAACGTATTATTTTAGTGCATTCGCTACGAATTGCATTGCATCAGGGTAAGTATGACGATTAATAATAAACAAAAGTTACCGGTATGTCGCCACTGTATCGATTGACACGCGCAAAAAATCGGTAACAATTAAATGTATGTTAGTAAAAATATTGTTGTAATTTTGATTTACATGTATTTTTTTGCCTATTGACATTTTTTCATTTTAGCAACTTTAGGAGTCGCATCTGTCGAACATTGACCTGTATACAAGATTTATAGTACATTTACTTGAATTAACGCTAGCGATGTATGTAAATATATAATATATTGTGAAAATGACTATTCTGTTAATCTTACATCGCCTAGGCATATTTTCTAGAAAAACAAAATGAAATATGTGTTCTCTGACTTGTTATCAAATACAACAGTTCTCGAAAATTGCATCATCTTTTTTACAGTGAAAAACATTACAATGTATCATCCGTTATGATCAGTCTTTAAGTTTTGACAGATAAGCAACTACTTATAAGTTTATTTTATGTTCGTATTTAATTGATGAAAACATTGTGACGCGATCAAATAATTATAGCAAAAGTTTTTCGGATATTATTAATGTAAGTAATTTAGATAACTAGATATGACATATGTACGAATTAATTAAAACCAACAAGATTATACAATATAAGTTTTTTTTATAATTTTGAAACGATAATTAAGTTTGTTGATCAATAATTGTTTTAATAACAACAAAAATATCCAATTAAAGTATTTCAATCTTTTGATTCGGAGAATCAATGTTATACGCTTTAACAACGTGGATACTAAATATGTTTCTGCACACATTCAAAGTGTTCGATATGTAAAATTGCATTAATTGTTATTGTACAAATGATCAATGTTGATGAAACTTATCTACAATAGTATAGATAACTAATATGTAATCAATTTAGTAAAATGTAAATCTTGCCGTTCATATATTCGTAAAATGAAGTTATACAACAACAAAAAATATCGTAAAGTTTCATAATTTCTCTGTCAATAAAACTCAGAGTCAATAGTGTAAAAACAAATAAGCTTCAAACTATTTTTACTTAAGTTTGATTAATTATTAATCAATTTGGGTTGTATATTGCATAAAGTTTAAAAAGTAACTTGTATTTTTATATTTATATATAATATTGTGTATTACACATAGCATGAGAAATTGAATCTCAATTTATTTGATATATTTAATTGATACATTTAATATATTTTCACTAATTGGTGCGATTGTAAAATTCATACATAGATCATCTATAGTTATTGATGAATAATTTTGTTTTGCAATACAATTACATTTAATAATTTTCAATTATAAAAATAAATAATCTTGCAAGACGAGATTAAAAAATGATATTGTTTCGAATATATTTTATAGACAAATTCTAGCAGTATCTTTTTTTAACAAAAAAAAAAAAGAAAAAAAATGTTACTGGAATGATATTTTGAAATATTGTTATTAAATATTAGGTAAATATCAATACCAGCATGCATATATTTTTTGTAAAAAGCATAATATTATTATAAATTATATAGAAATATCATGAAATATGATTCATGTGTATAAAATTGTGTATTAATGAAATAATCAAGTTCACTAAACTGACCAGACATATTTTAAAAATGAAAGTGTAACTGAGAATAAAAATTCTGAACTAAATGTAAAGAACTCAATTCAAAACACAATTCATTTATTTAACATAATTTCCAATATTTTTCGATTATTTAAGTACATTCAGACCAGATATTAATTTTAATGGAATTGAAATTGGATTCAGCTATTTCAGTGTATATTTAAATAACTTATAATAAGGCCCTTGATTTATAGCAATTTGCGTATGAGAAAAAAAATGGAATATTTTGATGACAAATTTTTGGTTTGATAAAAAACTTTATTCTGCAGATTAATTTTATAAAAAGCAATTAAATTTTTATTTCAACTTTTTATATGTTATGTTTTATAAAATTCTTAAGCAAATATCTTAACATTTGTGAATATTCTTCAAGTGTAAAGGTTTTTCAGGGTACACTTATAAATTAACTCAATCTCATATACAATAATAATCTGTTATACTTCACCGATTATATATTTTTTCAACAATTTATTTACATGCATATAATAATTTTTATTTACAGTATTATGATTAATTTGAGTTTTTTTACAACAGTCTTGTTTAAATATACTCTGTAGTTGAGTATTTCTGTACTGATATTCTTGGAGCAGGTTGAGGTTCTCTGGGTGAACCTGGTGAATCCATACTAAATTGTTTTTGTAAAATTAACAAATTCCTGAATTGATGTCCAGTAACACTTTTGTGCAACTCAATACTTCGAGCTATAATAACTTCTTTTATATACTTAGCATTGTCTTGTATTAAACTTCTTTTTTGTTTAAATTTGGGGTTTCTCATTGATGCTTGAAAATGTTCCAACTGCACTTGTAAAATAGATATCAACAAATTTTCCATTAAAACAATCATTTCTGGAGTAGCTAAATTGAGACAATCTTCAAGTAATCCTATGTACATTTTAGCAAAAGTTAATGTATTATTTGTTAAAGGGATTATATATTTATTTTTTATAAGATTTTCTGGCAGTGGTATTCCTATATCATCCAATTCCATGAGTACTTTGTCAGCATTTTGAGGTGTTTGAAAGTTACTAGGATTCCAATTTTCCTCTGACGCTCTTAATTTAATAGCCTCTACATACTTTTCTTTTGTCTCCCTTAAAATTTTACTTAATGGTCCTCTTATCTGAGCATCAAGCTGATATCTATAATCTAAACCAATCTGAGTCAATTGTTCGGAATCTTCTCTGAGAGTAATGATACAATCCACAATAGTACTTAATGAAACTTGTGGAATGAAAATTTGTTTAATTATATGACAAGTAAGAGTTTTCAATTCATGACTGCACCATACTGCAAAAGCTGAATTACAGTGTGGTAGACCTGAAAAGACATTGAAAAACTCTTGAGACATTTCAGCTATATTTTTAAATGCAATAGCGCTGAGTTGTTTGACGTAATGAACAATTGCTCCTTCTCTTTTAATTTTTCTTAGTCTTGTTTTTAAGGTTGCACTACACAATTTCAAAAATAACTGACATGCTTTTGCACTACGATCCAGTTTTATTAATAGCTTAACAGCCCTCTTGGCACTTCTTAAACCACCACCTTGTAATGACTTTATTTCCATTGTTGATTCAAGTTCCTTTGTGAGAATTGAGATCAAATAATTTGATCTTTCTTTACATTTCCCTTGCATTTCTTTTAATATTTGTGGACTTGCCTCAACAGTTTGCAAAAATGATGTAGCTTTTTGCAGCAAGTCATAGGCTTCCTCAAAGTGGCGTTGAGCTATAAAAGAATCCAAACTTTCTGATATTTCTAAGATCCAATCTGGAAGAGGAGCGTATGAAACTACATGATTCTCTTCCTCTGCAGTTGACATTGACATTGAAAATGCTCTTTCTAATTTTGGAGAAGGTTCTTTATTATTATCATTAGGTAGATTTCCTTGACAAAGCTTTAATCTCTTAGCTTGCTCACAACTTTCAAGCCATTCCTTCTTGCTAGTGGCAGAAGAACATTGAAATACTCTTGTATCAGGAAAAGCTAACAATTTAAAAGCTAAATTTACACTTCCACGATCTTTAACATTCACAACAGCTAAACTTTGAATTTCATAAACTACTTGCATTCTGTATCGAGGTTGACCCTTTTTGGTTTCATATGGCAATTCAGAAGCAGTCATCAAAATGTCATTAAACAAGTAAGCACGAATTTTTTTCATTGGCTTACCATCTATTGGATCTAACTCTTGAAGAGTGCCTTCATGCAAACACAATCGACCTGGAGTTTCTACAAGAGTTAAAGCACCTTCTACATTTTCTAAAAGCTTTGTTAATTTTTTCTTAACTTCATCTTCTTTTTGTTGGTCTGAAACATTTTCTGATTCTGCTGGTGTTTCATTTTGCAAAAGTACATTGGAGCTTCTCCTAATATCTAAGGTACTCAAAAGCGATCGCTGTTCACTCAATAACTGGGACAATTGATACATCTCACTCTCCAAATGAGATATTTCTTTGGCAGTTTCAATGAATTGAATATAATTTTGATAAACATTTTGCTTTAATGATGCAGATGTGTTGTCTGCCAATTCTTGGATTTTTGCTCGCTGCAGCCTGAGTTCATCAGCACCAATGCACTTTGAGCTGAGGTCTTTGACAAACTTGTCTGCAGCAAAATTGTCAACGGCAAAATTTTCTAACGCAGCGAAAGACATATTGATAACGCAGTCAGAGTAATTCACTTCATAAGAACCACTGATCACAACTATAATAGCAATGATCTTGTATAACCTTCAATACAACAATAAATGCAATCTCAATGAAAGATGAGAGTAAGCGTAAGCATACCTATCTCCTCCTTTGCATTCCTCTTTGATTTTTCTGACTTACTGAGGGGCGGCGCCCCTTAGCGGCTGATCTGGCAACTATGATTACAAACAATCGCTTTGACATATGGACTGTCTCTTTGAAAGCAATAGTTTGCCGTTTGATCTCTTGTTTTCCAAATATACTCCCTGCAAAATTTAGAAGTTTTTTAAATTCTTATTTCATCTTGAGCTTAGCAGCTCATCAAGATTTTAAAAGAAAATAATTGTTACAGTTTTATACTTCTAGCTCGTGAGAGTTTCAACGTTCTTGCTTGGAAAATCGGCGACGGTTTACGATTTTCTTGAAAAGTATGGAAAAATCCTGTACCTGATTTTGATCATAATAGAAGGAACAGAGAATAAATACATCGATGATTATCGTTCTTTATATCCCCACCTCGATGAGTCACGCATTCGTCACAAGTGGGCGCAAAAAAAAGTAGAATCACACAACCGTAAACTAGACTAGACTACGTTTGCTCGTAGTACATTTGCATACCAAGTATGGCATTTAAAAGCGCTTACCTGCAAAACCGGCAACCAGCTCGACGTTCGTGGATAAAGTGTTGCTCGCGAATCGCACTCGGACGAGGTGCATTCATGCATCGTCAGTGCAGGCGGATAGATACATTCTCGCGCAGCTTTCAACTTCATCAGGTATGTAGGTAATATTGTGTGTATTGCCGTTGCAGGTTGCTGTCTTTCAGGAAGAAAAAAACTCATTTCGCATAGGCTCGAGAGCGCGATATATACGTGCCGCGTACCGAGTCGTAAAGTGCACACGATGTGTAGCGAGCGACGCAAAACAGCTAGACCGTAAGAGTATCGCGTATTTATGATAAATGCAAAAACGAATTTCTAAATTTCTATAACTCGAGCGGTGGCTATTCTCGGATTCGGTACATAACTGCAGGCCGTAAACTGTCTTGACATAGCAGACAACAACATCGTCGTAATATTCATCATGTCTGCATCCGATCTCTGAGTGCTCGATGGATTTCAACAACCACGACGAGGAACACCGTGACGATGTCTGCTCGAAACTGCTGAAATTGTTGTCCTTGAACGAGTCCAGCGCGAAAAATGTCAACGAGGGATCCTGACAATTTGATAAGCAGCGAGGAGGGCTTCGATTATCTCTTCAAAATTGTCCTCGTCGGCGACTGCGGAGCTGGCAAGACCTGCATCGTCCAGAAGTTTCACTCGGGTAATTTCGTTCAGAGGCATGGCAATACCATCGGTGTCGATTTCTCCATGAAAACGGTTCTCATCGATGGAAAACGAGTCAAGGTGAGTTGCCCGAAAGCCCGCATATCTATGTTAACTAATTTATTTTAAATATAACTTATGCTGATAAGAATTGAGTGCAGGTACAATGTATTACTGAAAGAAAGAAATTTTCGATTATATTTCTTACAGTTACAAATATGGGATACAGCTGGACAGGAGAGGTTTCGCACTATTACCCAGAGCTATTATAGATCAGCTAATGGAGTTATTCTTGGTAAGGATTGAATGAATCATTGACATTCAGATATTCATTGTATAACAAAGCTCTTTATTGTACTTCAATTTTCTAAAATTGTTTTGTTTCATTTATTGCAGTTTACGATATCACAAAGCGGCCCTCATTCTTAAGTTTGCAAAAATGGGTTGATGAAATTCGAAAGTATACTACATCACATGTTCTTCTTATTTTAGTTGGTGAGTATTAGGTTTGTTTATATTTAAAATATTAAACGCCATGGTAAACTCTGGGGTATTTTTATTTTGAACAGGTAATAAATGTGATTTGGAAGACGCTAGAGAAGTCAAGAAATCTGAAGCAGATATGGTTCGTGAATATCTGCCTGAAGTATTTCATATTGTTGAGACTTCAGCTAAGGAAAATACAAATATTGATTCAATTTTTTTCTCTTTAGCTTCTGAACTTAAGGTACAAGTATAATTGTATATCAGATTGATGGCACATATTTAATCTTTTTTACACACTACTATATTTTTTAGCGCCGTCAAGAAAATCATCAAATCAATGCAGAAGATGAAGTTATAGTAAAATTAGGCAGTGGGCAAACACTTCCATCAAATTATCGTAATGAAAATCAAGTCATCAATTTGGAAGATTCCAACCATGAACGAAATCTTTCATCATGTTCATCCTGCTCTTTTAAAGTATTATAAAGAATTTGAAGAATTTGAATCATAATTTCTTCTTAACAAGTAAAATTAACATTTTCTAAAAAAATTAATTTCAAGACTTTAACAAAAATTTACATAGTACAAACATTTTTTACAATTAATTAAGTTAACTGTTACTAAGTTAGTGTAGATTTTGACAAACCAGATACTGCAGGACTATGAACTTTAAAAAATGTTAAAAATTTAGGTAACAAAAGATAACATTTTAGTGACCCATTTAATGTTTCTTAATTATGAATTATTGTCTTTCATATGAAAACTGTTATATATGTATCTATCGTTTAGTTTTACAGTTTTCAAAATATTTCTGTAAATTGTTGGCACTTTTACAGATATTTACTTAGTAAAATATATTTACTTAAAAAATATTTATTGTATGGAGTGTAAAAAATGAAACTTTTTCTTATACATTTCAAAATGTACGTTCGAAGTTTAATGCTACATTGTTTGGAAAAGTTGTCGAATAACTAAAAATGACTTGAAAATGTTGACTGATCATGAATGATTTTACGTATTGATATCTATGAAAGTATTTTATACCAAATTGTTAATTATTACTAATAAAAGTGTATTTTTCAGTATATTCAATTGAATTTCATATTGTAAGTTAACATTTATTACAAAAATGAATGTTTATAAATAAACTCTACTCAAAAATTGATAGCTGCATTTTCCAAAATCATTTCAACTTCAAACATTTATAAGAGGATCACGACTTGATAGGTAATGTGGTTTTAATGAAAAAAAAATTAAAATGGACAAAAAATCAAATAACATGAAATAATATTTATTGAATAATTTCGATTGTCTTAACTAAAACAATAATTTAAATGACCTCCACCATTCTTTTTAAGCATAATGTTTGTAGATATTATTCTTCCAATAAAACTTTTAATACATAAATCATTCTACATTTCATAAACATATTTCAAACAAAGGTGTAAATAACTTTTGAGTTGACTCAAATAAAAGAATACTGTTAAAAAGAAAACAAACTGTTATATAAGTAAAAATGATATTACATCCCAGATATTATTAATTGTTTTTCAAATTAACTAGTTCTGAAGTCAAATAGATCAAAAAGCAAAACAAATCATTCCAAGCCAATGGTATACAATTTATAAAAATCAAAAAAAGAACAAAAGTTCATAACATTATTTATAATTGTCTCTCTATAAATGAATAAACAAGTAATATAAATGTGTTAAACTATTATAACATGGTAGAGTATCTAAATGTACATAAATATAAAAGGGTTGAGATTAAGAAAAAATAGTATAACAACAGCTATTTTAATTATTAAAATGTAAAATTTTCATAAGCACATCATTGAAGAATACTTGCTTTACAAATTATTTACATGTGATACTCACACAACCTTTACCATCTTTCTTAAATATTTTTTAGTGAGTCTGTAATTTTTCACTCAAAGGCACATGTTTCATTTTTATTTGATTTTTCAATCTATAAGTACATTATTTTACTTACTATATTGCAGACCATTAATGTGATCAATTGATAAATAATAAAAAAATTGATTGCTTCTTTCTAGCACAATCAAAACAAATATGTTTAAAAATGATACAATAAAATAGTATTACAAACTAAACAACTGAGTTGACTATAAAGTTCACAGAAATGATTGCAAATTGTTTCAGTATTCTGTTTACATCCAATTATTTTTTAAATAATAAGAATCTTTGAATTTTAACATACATTATTGCCTATTATCATTGTTGCAATGAATTATCAATCAATAGTTTCGTAAACTCCAAACTATTTTGATAAAATCATAAAATGAAATTTTGCATAATATTTAAAACAAAATTTCACCAAAATTTCACCTATGTATAATATAATGTACTTCCGCTTAGGTAAAGCATAAAACTATTTCAATTTTGGTACTCTTTCATAAGTTCTTCTGTACATCTCATCAACTTTGACAAGGTAATAAGTTCCTGGAAACATGTTATCAATGCTTCCTTGAGGCTCATATGGAACAGTGTGACAATTTTTTTCCCTTAAACTTAAAACTTTTGTATATTCTTCGGGATGAACTTGTTGTCTGGCTTCCAGTTGAGTTTTAACATAAGAAAGATTTGTCACTAGTTTCCTTAACTGTGAATCTTGACTCAAGTCACTTGTTACTGTTATTGAATACATGCTTGATGCAAGACCAGATCCATATGAGAATACTCCTATTTTATTTCCAGCCAATTCCTCAATTGGTTTGTCAATTAACAAAGAGATTAGACCAGAATATACGGATGGTGTGTACATATTGCCAACCTGGTTAGCAATGAACAAGCTCGGCTTGGTTTTTTTCTCAAAATCTTCTTTGCTTAGCGCCATGAAAGCTTTTTCCACATCTCTATCAAAATAAGTATCTTCCAAGGCTATGTTACTGAACTTTTGCAAATCAACATGGTTTTCAATAGATTTACTTTTAGACGAGTTAATAAAGTCCACTAGAGCTAATCGAGCAAATGATTTTTGTACAAGCTTACAATAAGGTGAATGGAACAATACAGCATCAAAGTCATTGACACTTGTTTGGTGATTTGCTTTTTTGGCTTTAACTTTGTCACAATACCTTTGATAACAGGTATCTAAAGCACTAAGGTAACACTGAATAGATAATCTCCCATCTACAGTAGGATATTCTGATCGCAAATCTGGTTTGTAGAAATCATACACATGTCGCATGCAAGAGGCACGTAATCCTTGATCAAGGACCAAGGGGGCATGGGGTCCAACGAGCATAGCAATAGCTCCAGCACCACCGGTAGGCCTGGCACTGCCTGGAGCGTAGACAGCATTGTCAGCGCACACAACAAGGGCCAGACGACCATCCCAGGCACTGCTCTCAACCCAGGAGATGGCATTGAAAAGGGCAGCAGTGCCACCGTAACAGGCATTGGTGGTGTCTATGCCCTCGACGTCGGTATTACCGGAGGGCTCGAAGAGCTGCATCAGGCAGGATTTGACGGATTTGCTCTTGTCGAGTATGGTCTCGGTACCGACCTCGAGCCTGCCAATGTCCTGGGGCTTGACATCGTACCTGTCGAACAGCCGGTGAACCACGGTGAGACACAGCGAATTGATGTCCTCTCGGTCATTGCAAAATCCCATTCTACTTTGACCTAAGCCAACGGTATATTTGCCGGCAGACACTCCATCGAATTTCTCCAACTCGCTCTGGTCAACGAACTGAGCTGGAAAGTAGACCTCCAAGGCCTTGATACCAACATTCTCGGGCCACATGTTGATTAATAAAAATTACACGAGTCGTGCCTTTAAAATAGTAATAATTTGTAGGAGTCACTTGGAATTGACAAATGCGCTAATGATATATCTCGTGCTGGGAGCGAAGAGTTCGATTACATCACTTAATCACACTCGAGAGACGACAGCACACGGCATTTAAATAGGTACAGGGAGCGAAAGAGCAAAAAAGAGCAGGCTTTACGTAAGTGCACGTATATAAATTTCTTTTTTCGTCAAAAAAAAAGAAAGACAGTGCGCGTGTGAGAAAAGAGCAACGAGAAGCTTTGGTCAAGCAATCGAGAATCAATCAAGTCGAATAAGCGGTATGGCTTTTGGCTCGCGCTCGAAGTATATCAAAGAGCAACGAGGAAGAAAGAAGGAGAGAAAGAGAGCGAGAGAAGCCGGAACGGCATGCATACGTATTGAGGTTGGAAGTGAAAACGTCGGAGTGAAAATCACGGTCACTAGGTGAGGCACTCTCCTTTTTTTTCTCGTAATATATTTCGGCCAATGAAGAAAGGGACCCACCGCGACTGGCCCGTTTTGTAATTCCTTCTGCGTGCGTGAGCGTGGACGTATAGACGTGCGCGTATGCGTGCGTGTATTAAAGCTGGATAGCGCGACTCCAAAATCTCCAAGGAATCCTCCGAGATTTCACTTTCTTCGGCTCGTCGGTCCTGTTGGTTGTTCTTCAACTCGACAGGCTGCAGACGGCTGCTATCTCGTATTATTCTTTTTTGGCAAAAAGGCTGGAAGACGATGCGATGCAACTTTACCAAGTTCTCACTCGACGACTAGGAGCTGATACAAAGTTGTATAAAAAAAGGTACGATCCTCTTTTCACGTGTACAAGTCCCTCGGGAGCTCACAACAACAAACAACAACTTCTATATATACTATGTGTACGTGCAAAAAAAAGGTATACACGCGACGTCTGACTCGGTCGACGGTCCACGCGCGAATAAAAAACTATCCCGACTACGACTATGACGACGACGACACGCGCTTGATCACTCTGCGGCAGTTGCGGGGCCGCGACTGACTTTATCTGTCGGCGGCTATACTATACACTCTCGAGTCTGTGCCTTCTTGTGGCAGCTCGCTATATGTTATATTTGCAGCAGCAGCAGCAGCGGTGGCGGTGGCGGCCGATGCGACATATGCCGTGTGTAGCCCCGCGCGCAATGTATACGCAATTTCATCCCCACTTTTTAGCAGAAGGCAATTTCTCTTGGCTCTGGTAGTGTGTGTGTGTGTGTGTGTGTCGCGCATACTGTAAAATGAGTATACCTTTATATGCACACACAGGTACGTATAGTCGCACCTATACACGTTCCCCGAGAGCCTCTGTGTCAGTGAGTGTATCTGTTATAGGTATACACACGCCAGAATACCAGGCGTGAGAAGATAAACAATAAAATTCGAAGAATGTCGCGGATACACGTAAGGAGATGAAACTTTGAAAAGCACGTCATATCTGTGATGCGTATATATTTCGTCGCGCTTATACATTACCTACGATCTTGACTTGTTCTGTCGATGCAAAAAAGAAAAAACGAGTCAAGATCTCTTCGACTCTTTTTTGCTCCAAATCTATTGTAGTGCTTCGTCGAATATTGACTTTTTTTACGACGCGAACTCGCGCTCTCTCGAAAATTTTAATATCGTGTACAGAGAACGCTCGAATGTGGATCAGCGTTATCGTTTATCGGTTAAAGCTATATTGAGTCGCAGGAACTTTGCTTCATTTCCGTATGAAAGAGGTAATTGTCCGCTGAAATCAGACGTCTGGATCGGTACAAGCGATCGATAAACATCGATCGAAATCGGTATTATTTATTTTTTTTTTGTATCTCGTACCGATTTTGCGTCGCGAACATTTTCCACGCGCTTTCATGCGCGCACAATGACAATAATAGCTGCGTGCGTTGTTATTCTCGCGTGTTGCAGTGCAGTGCCAAGTTCAAATGTAAAACTATGAAAATCGCGGCCATACATAGTCGCGCACTGGAAATAGCAGCAGCAGCAGCAGCAGCATGAGAAAAAATTCGAGCTTCAACGTGGTACTGCGAAAATTTTCTCATTGACTCTCTCGCCGACAATAGGCCCGACGATTCTCATTTACACACAGTTGCATATCCGAAAAGGTTTCGAGCGCGCGCGCGCGCGACAACGATTGAATAAAAATAATCATGTTCTTGCGATCGGTAAGTACAATATTTGATTTTCAAATGAGACGCGAGCTCGCGCACATTTTTGTGTGTCTGCAGTGTACTTTTGCGTCTTCCTCGGAAATTCCATAGTACCGCGTGACTTGACATTTAAATCATAAAGAAAACTTCTGCTATCGGCACGGACGCAGATGAAGAAGCAGAGAGCTCTTATCGGCAACCGAAAGAAAAAACACACCTCATTGTTGTCGTTTTACGTTCGAAACGTTGAAATAACTCGAAAGGAGAAGAAGAGGCAAAAACGACTTTTGCGACAAAGATATCTAATATCAAAAGGCACGAGCAATAATGTGCTCGACGACGGCTCCGTTTTAATCGCGCGACCGAAGACGCGCGTGGCATAAATCGTCTGTGTATATAAATGTAATACACATACGCGCGCTCGGGCGAAAAACAACGTGACTGCAAAGTAAAACTGCACGGAAAATCAACGACGACGACGCCTGCCTGCAAGCCTGACTGCAGATCGTCGATGTCACGCAATTATTGCGAGCGACCAACTAGGGGGAGAGAGAGAGAAAGACATTTCAAAATACGCAAATCCTTTCGTGTGCATTTATGAGTTATACCGTAACTATCGCCCCGCGACTAATGCCTTTCCTCGTAGATACAGTTTTTTTCTCCTTTTTATTGCCGCGAATACGATATGGAAAAAAAACCTACGTCAAAAGATGCCGTACTTTCAAGGCCGTACTTACCTCAACGTGCATGTATTCGCCGTAATATGTAAAAAAAAAAAACGAAATGAATTAATTATTAGAGGCAATAATGTACAACGGTGATGGGAGTAACTGTTTTTTTCTCCATAGATTTCGTCTGTGCCATCGGGCGTTGTGGTCATCGTATGTTGCTATATCGAAATACCGAAAAAGTCGATTTTATCTTGCTCAATCTAGATAATGATTTTCTAAAATCGAGGAAAAAAATCGGTTAATGTCATGCGTGTGCTCATATAACGCGTAATAATGTGTGCTTTTAGGATTCATCCCGTTTAATGAATAAAATTCATAAGCTAAAATCATCATCATTTCGAAAAATGTAAAAGCACACGAGACAGCGGCGGCAGAGCAGAAGCAGTACACAGCACCAGTATACAGCAGCAGCCAATGATAAATCAAGAGAATCAGCTTTCCAAAAAAATTTCACCGGACGTCGGTGAAGCGCGAAATACCAAATTCACACTCGGTATATACGCGCACACGCACACACACAGCGATCGTATATGTGTGCAACGCGCTCGAGTGCTCGAACCATGTCCACCATCGACGCCTCTGTATACGCATTAGCTAAAGTATGATACAATTTCTGCACGGTGTGGTGCACCGATAGAGAGACAGTAGCGAACAGCAGCGTCGCGACGAATGCAGCAGCACGCATCAGAATGCACGAGTCGTACGCGAAGTCGCGAATAAAACGTGTTCGTTGTATATTATACATCTAGATATAGGCGTGCGATCGGTAACTGTCCATCCGATCGCAATCGCGCACGCCTTTCGTGCGAGTTATCATAATACTTTAGCGTGAACAGCTCATTCAATCGCTCGAATAAAGCTGCTAAAAAAAGGAAAAAAAGTCTCGATCGATTCTATGTACAGTGCCGCTGATCTACCGAATCGATCAAAAATCGGCCAATAAATCGGTAACGTAAAATTCGGTTCGACGGCGTAGGCTTTGTGCCGATTTTTCACAAATTGCGAGTACACGCTCGAGCTATATCTGCACCGCAAAACGTTAACGCATATTATACACGAAAGTGAAAAGCAATTCTATAAATACAAATAAATGTACGAGCTGGCCAATTCTTGGCTCGAGGGCAACATCATTATCATCATCATCATCATCATCATCCGCGCGCGTGAGGCGCAGCCGATACTCAACTGCGCATACACGCGTATGTATATATAAACACAGATATCGGCTGGTGCACATGCTCGATGATACATGTATACGCGAAGGCGAATCCACGCGCGAGTGCGCGCGCGGAAAAAGAAAGTTCTCTCTTTCCCCCGGTACAGTGCAAATGATCGTTCGTTATAGCTGCAGCACAGCTCGCGAGTCGATCGCAACTCCCATGTCAATGCCGCCGCTCGCTCGCGCGCATAAAAGCATGGAACGAATTAAATTATTATATTATAAATTTTGACGCGCGGCGCGGCCAAATTGAGCAGCCGTTTCGCGTCCGCGTGTCTTTGTCGCTGCGCGGCCAAATAGACGCGAATCATACATCTCCATAGGCTGTATATATACGACTCGCGATTACCGATCACCTGCATAAATGCACACCGATCGCGCGAGTTTCGAAATTCAGTCTTAAGTGCGCCTATATAAATGAGTGTCAGGCGGCGGCAACTCATGGAGAAGGGATCCCGAGGATACACCTACCTGCTTCCATATGTACCGATCGCGGCGCGCGCGAGAGATGGAAAACGATTACCGTGTTGTTGGCATATATGTGCGCACTCGAACGCACGCGCGCACTTACATATACGCGATATCTGTATACCAATGTCGACGATTAATTATAACTTATAACGTCCGCTTTGAAAAATGAAAGTTCTCTCGTGTGCTCGTGGACGCGCTCGACGTACGTACATATACGCAGTCCCGCGCACATACGCATGCACATACACACATGCACACGATGTCCTTTGATGCCGCAAAGGCCGCGACGCAGCGCAAAGACTTACCGAGGCAGTTCGCGACATGACTTTGTTATATGTGTATGCTTAGAGCTTTGACGTATAATCTTCCTGCACAGTTCACCGAAAATCTCCAAATCTCGAGAGGAAAATTCCTCCTTTTTTTTAGATAATGTCCAAGCTTTACTTTAATACTTTTATTGGACTTATGCTTTGACTTTTTTTTTTATTAAATTCCAATGGTTTTGAATAACTAATATACTTATGCGCGCCTCCGCTAATCCGTCCAAAAACTTGCGTAATTTTGAGATTCTTTCTGACGCGCTCACTCTCTTTACGATGTCGTCGTTACTTCACGCTCTCGCGTATATATCTAGCGCGTGTAGCAAGTCAAGCTATATACTTTACGCTTATCCTCGGTCCGAGCTTTGATTGTCGCTCTCTTGGCCGCAGAACTCGGCGCGTTGTTACTGCAATTATTCGCACATTTACGCGTACGCCGATGTTGATTGATCGACGTCATCCCAGTCGTCCAGCAGTTAACAGAAGTCTTTTTCTGCTTCTTTTTCCTTCCAATGTCACAGAGATATGCAATGATCAAGAATTTTCGGAAGATCGGTAAGAAAGTAGGATCCATCATATCGCGCGATGAAATTATGCAAAGAAGCGTGAATCAACAGGTTCCGTAAAATGTAAATATACTTTTTTTTCGAATTTTTTTGGCACACATCTCGGCTTGCGTAAAGCAGAAATTGTGAAACGAATTTCGTTCATTCATTTGCTTTGCTCAAATTTTTGGAATAATAAGTTGATAAAAATAATACCAACTCATGCAAAATTTACAATTTTTAATTAGTTACATCGTACACAGTTTTGAACGTACGTTTTTAAGAGATAAAAGAATTACAATACCACTAAAAGTCATCGAGTTTATGAAAATGACATCGTTAAAATCTATTCACTTCGTTATTCATTCATCAATTTTTTATTATTTACTATAAATCTTATTATTTATTGTCACTAAAATTTGACTGAAAATTCGCAGTAAAAATGAAAAATTAGAATCATAAATAAAAAAAATATATATTGAATGCACATAAAAGTATATAAAATAAACTTTGTCAATTTAATCAATGAAAATTGGAGAGCGAAAAAAAAGTTTGTACAATGCATTTTTTGATTATAGTTGTTTTATAAATAAATTATATTTCATATGTTAAGAGTACAATTACAACTTAAATTTGATTTTTTATTATGAAAAACCACGCCTAGAACTAGATATTAGAAACAGTTTTAATTTCCAGGTATGCTTCCATGACATTCTTATATACAATATACAATTAATGTTTACTTCTTTAAATTTCTCACTCTTTTATGAATATTAAAATATTTTTGTAGATTCAAATAATTACATAAAAACAACAATTTCTCTTATTTTCACGGGAACATTAAAATAAGTACCTAAATTAACATATAATTTTATTAATTTTTTTATCTTCAAAAAGCATCATTTCTAGTCTAATATTAATATCGATATTAATTCATCTACTTCGGTATAAAATACATATTAATCATGATTCCTTTTTATTAGAATAAAATCTCTTCATTTTTAATGTACACAATAAAGTTATTACAAATTCTGTAACAGAGCATCATTAGACTTCAGCTCTAGGTACATAAAAAGAGCGTTATAAAAGAAATACTGATAGAAATAAATTACAATTATAATATACAAACTTGATACTTTACGACTAATCGACGTTATTTTTGTAATGTACTCGTACACATGCAATTATTTTAAAACCCCATCGTATGAGTTTGTAGAATGTCAACAATGTGACAACAAAGACAAAAAATGTTTCTATATGGAAAAATTTACCTCAATCCAGTAACATGATTGCGACGAATGAGTGAGAAAAAAGAAAGTCGTCGCCACGTCACATATATATATAAGCATATATAGACAAGTCATACAAGCCTAAAAATCCACGCAAGTATTATACTACTGTGCAGTTTCTATTGGACTAAACCGCTTGTCAAATTATTTTAAACATAAATTATAGGTACATATCAAAATTTTTAACCAATTTCATTATGTTACGTATACATGTAATAAAAAGCTAGAGGAAAATGCTCAGATAAAAATATTGTTTCCAGATTCGGTTCATTCTCTCTTGCTTTTGCTCTGTCAGATTCCGACATCTTTGTACATGCTAATAGGTTTATTTACCTATTTCAACAGAAGAGCCGTTTTACCTTGTTACGCGCCATCGCTTTTTCGAATAGCTGAAAGCTTTTTTGCCGCCATATGTTAAATCTTGATGAAATTTTTTGCAGACAAAAATTATAGCTGTTTGACTAAATTAATCATTACATTCAGTATCGATATCAAAACACTCATATTTTACATATTTTGGCACAAAGCATGATTTTACAAAAATGACATCATATTAAATGAATCAAATAATGGCACTGATTGTATAATGGTAACTAAAGTAAATTGTTAAAATAATTATTTGATATACCTAAACAATGCACAAATTGACATGTCATAGCTAAAAGCTTTATGAACAAAGATGATGCAGTAGATAAATACAAAAGAGTTCATAAATTGATTTGATCTCTATTATAATGTCATTCGTTACGTATATATTTAAAAAATATAATTTTTATAATCGACAAAAGCGTCGAACTATCGTAGGAGAAAATTTAAAATTTTGATTTTTGTATAGAAAAAGTTGAAGCCTTTCTTACGACGGGAAACACATTATAAAAATTATACTCGCGTAAGATCTCGATCGATTACATGTATTTATATCAAAGTCCTTTAACTGTGATGTTCAATTCAACGTTAACTAATTTTTATTAAACTTAACATTACATTTAATTATAATTGGAACAGAGCTGCACTCAAAAGAGCCTAAAAGCTTTATGATTACTGTATATGAACATAAATTTATAATAAAAAATTGAAGGCTTTTTTTCTATACATAAATACAAAAAAGTTATGATCTTAGTTCATTTACTTCAAGGTGTATGACCTTGATGTCCGAAGTCAAAGGATCTTTGGAAAAAGTATTATGCTGTCTTTCGACGATTTAAAAGAGACCCTTCTTCTTACTCTTCTTGCCATCCACCGTTCTGAAATTAAAATTAATCATTATGTTAAATAGTAGATTATGGACAAATTAATTATTGCATTAACCAGCTATGTCACTTCTGCAAGAATATAATTGATAGTGAGTAGCTTTATTTTGCGTTTTATTATTTTCAAATTTAGCAAAAGTGTCGAGTAAAGATGGTCAAGACAAAAAAAATTAGATCGATCATTCTCGCATAAAAAAATAACTGGGTTGCTAACTGCATTATTTATACTAATTTTGTAACTGATTTTCAAATTAGCAAGCACTTACCACCTGAGGGGGCAGCACATAACATTAATTATCAGAGAAATAGTGTACAGTCGATAGTGTAGAAATTTTGTTATTGATAACAATTTTTTAAACTTTAAATTTCATTTTTTAAAATGTATTTCTAAATGTACAATGAATTAAACAAAACTTAGTTTCCTGGCAATATGACCATTTCTTGAAGAAAGACCATCTTGTTTTCTTCGTTATTGTAAAAAAAAAATATTAAAAAATATCATACAGTTTTTTAAACAATTCTTGAATTTTAATTTTTACAATTTATCGAATGAAAAGTAACAAAAACTACAGCAGTCTAACTACAGTAAAGCCCACCATAACCATATAATAAACGGGAACATTTATAAAGCAAAAGTTTTCCACTTGCACCTCACAAATTGATACCATTTTGCTATGCTTCAGATAAATCAAAAAGTAAGTGATAATGTTTGTATAATTTTTTGATGTTCTGATAAAATGACGTTTAGATGATTAATATTATTAAGACGTATACATGGAACAAAAAAATATCATGCTAATACAATTGAATGAATTTTTAAACATGCTTTCAGACATTAAGAGCATCATAGCAACAATAAAGTACATTCCAAAATTTTTCAATTTGTACTGCATAATCATCGGTAATTTTTCAAATAAGTTTAAAGAAAGGTTCTTCGAAATGAAATATGAAAAAATGATAAAGCATAGATAAAAATATGATTCAGGCAGTTATGGAATAAATGTTAGTATTATGTATCTTATTAATAAAAAGCATCATATTTATTCGCAAAAATGTATTTCATAGAATGATTAACAGCTTGTGTAACTAAACACTATAGGTCATTCAGAATTTCTGACGAACCATCCACTATGTCTGATTACAATTTTGAATAAAAAATTTATCAATTCATTTTAAATGATAAACTGATAAAAAATTTTGAAGGGACAGTTCGTTTAAAATTTACAATCGAATATTTATGTGCGTTTACTTTTTATGCTATTTTTACATATATTTTGTAATACATTCAATAATCTAGAAACGTTTGTATAAATCTCACTTCGCCGTAAAATTAATACAACAACCTTTAAGTGAGAATACTGACTTCGTGCCTTTTCAACTTATTTAAATTAAGTAATTGTTCTTAGCTCATAATTTATTTTATGAATAACTTTAGAATTAATTATCGAATTTTCAAACTAAGTTAAGTAACTCATTTGACTAAAACTGTTATGGCTTGTTTCATACATGACAAAATAAATATTCTTATAATTTATATCATTTTAGACAATGAAATGAAGTACATCGAGCAAATCTACAATAAGATTTTTTGCAATGACAAACTAGTGTCGATCAATATTTCTAACATAATTTTCATGGAAAAATGTTGATTATAATTCAGACCTCAATGGTTTCTATGTAAAAAGATGTTTTCTACAAAAAAATGATTTTATCATTTACAAAATATCGAATCACTAGATTTTATTGAAAAATACTATATACTGTTATAGTTCTGTGCAAAATATGGCAGCTGTTATTAATATTGTTGTTAATATTAATATCATAACTATAATCATATTGTTATTTATTTATGAGTAGTTGACAAATATTAGAGATATTATAGACATTTATTTTATGAATAAAAAAAATTACAGAGAGTCACAATGAATATTGCATTAACATTCTAATTCAAAAATAATTTTACAAAAACTGGAAGTTCAATTTGTGAAAATATTACTTTTCTACACAGCTTGAGGCTAATTAGTTGGCAAATTCCATTGCTTGCAACAAAGATGAGAATATCGATATGGACTAAAAATATTACGTACGTAACTTCGTCGCTAATATTTTTCGCGTATTACTCAAGAACTTCACGGAGGCGAATTGTATTTTTATGCTCTCAATAAAATGTCCCAACGAAAAAGCCCGTATCTTGACATTTTTTTATCAAAATATTTCATTTTTTTCTCGTAATCTATTTTCAAGTATTATAGCAAAGTGTAGCTTTTCGGATCGTAAGATCCTATTAAGGATGCTCGGGATGTTGTATGACAAGCTGCTGTATTGGCATGGGATTCTCCTGTGGCGACTTGAAACTGGTATGACGGCGCAGGAGGTTACCTATGCCGCGAGCTCCGCGCAATGTACCCACGCCGCCGGAGCCATCGGACGACACCGAGCCCGTCCTAAATAATCATGGAGATACCCCGATATTTTTGATTTTTGCTTTCGTTTGATACTCAAATAAAAATAAAGTGAAGAAAAAAGAATAATAAAGAAAAAGTACCAACTACAAACAGCTAGCCAAAAGCATGGCATCAAATAACGTTTGTAAAAGTAAAAACTACAGGAACTACTAATAAACAACTTAAAATCTGAATAGTTTTCAAGTGTAAAAAGTTATACTACTAAATAATATCAAAACCCATAATAAGACCGTTTAAAATCGTAATATATTACTGTCCGTGTTCAATTTTGATAACTGATCACTACAAGTCTACTACTATAGAATTTATATTCTTTACAGAAATTGTTAAGTGACTAGAAAATCTGTAATTATAACTAGCAAGAGCTACAATTACATTCTGAGAAACAGAAAATCAATGACATTTAAATGAACGGACAAAACATTGCAACAGATGTAAAAAAAACTTCACAACAATGAAAAATTCATGAATAATCAAAAGTAGCAATTTGAATGGAAATGAAATGCTTTTAGACCATTTCTTCGTTAATATAGAAGTTATGGCGAAGTAACTTGTTATAAGTTTAAACATACCATTCATAAATAAATTGAAATGAAAACAAAATAATTATGGCGAGGACATTTAATTGTAAAATTAAGTGCGAAATCATAAAATTTAAATTTTAGTACGTTAAAGAAATGAAAATAAGCTAAATTATATGAATGTAAAATGATATAATTGTGAAGAAACGTTATAAAAATTACACTTACTCTTTTGAAGTAGCTTCAAGGCTTCTGCGTCGTAATTCTTCAATGCTATGACCAGTCTGTTGTTCCCATGCATGCCTTTCAGATTCAAATGCTCGTCTTTTTTCTTCGAGTTCTTTTGCTTGCTGATCCAAAGAACGACGCATTTGCTCGTGCCTTCGTTGCAGCTGTAATAATTCAGGTTTGTAAGTTTTTATAAAAGATGTTGTCTAGTGTTTTTCCATTTGGTAAAAAAAACTTATGATAAAGTATAAAAAGTCGACATATACGATAAAACTCACATCTGATTCTAAATCTTTAAGCTTCTGCTTCTTTTCGCGAACTTTCATCTCAAACACTTGCTCCATGTCTATTTCCATTTTTTTCATTTTGTTTTCGTGTTCTCGTTTTTCTTCTTCCAACTGAGCAAGCGGGTTCCTGTAATAACATTTCAATGATTAGGAAATTTAAAAATGCACAAATTGAATCGATTATTGGATATCGATCGTGATGTATTAATGCATCAAAAAGTTGTAAAAGCTACACAATAAATAGTGTATCTTTAACGAACGCGTGTCTATTGTCTAAATAAGAAACTGCATATATTGGTAAGTATAGTACAAAATAAATATATCGGTGCTTTTAACGGTACAAAATAATTCTCTTGGTCAGGTGTGAATAAGATACACTAATCTAGTTATCGTGCAAATACTAAATGTAAAGATAAACCAAATTATCACTGAAACAATAAACTAAATATCAAGATTCATTTCTTTTTTAATGGATATTTTCAATCAACTACTTTATAGGGTCATCTAAAACTATTCTAACGTCAACATATACAAGACTTGTGCACACAAAACTGTATTATAGGGTTTTAGCTTTAAAACAACTTACCACACCATCATGAAACTGTTCATCACTCCAGGAGGGCACAAACTGACCAATGTGAAATTTTTTATTAGATACTTATCATTTTCATGGACAGTCATTCAATACTCAACACATTAAATTCTCATATAAAAAAAGGTAATGTGTTGTGTTGAGAATATTTTATAAAAAAAAATATTTTTCCTTTGATCAGTTTGCATGCACAAGCTTTTCCTCCTGTTACATTTTCAAATTTTTTGTACAAGAAAAATTTAACCTACACCACATTTATCATCAATCGATATTTCAACCATAAAATATTAAGATTGAACTCTAAACCTTTTATCAAGAGAGAAAAGTTAATATTAAAAAACCTCACTGACGCATCCGATACAGAGTTTCGAAGGGCTCAAAAGTGCCGACTAAGTATAGAAAACAATGTGCACTAACACTCTATAGTAGCTCTTAATTTAAAACAATTATTAGCGATCCTTTGAAAAAGTACTTACTTGTTAGATCCTCTTGAAGGTTTGCCATCAACACTAAGACCCGCTAATGTGCGACATCTGTAATTTTCATAGTGAACATTGTTTGTAACATCCTTCAAATCTTGCAAGTGTGTACGAACAATCATATCCCGTAAAGCAATGAAGTCGTTGTGCTCCAAATTTTCAACTGAAATAAAACATATCATTTAAAATTTTGCTTTTTGAAAAGAAAAATAAATAAATTTTACATACATTTTCAAGTAAAAAAGTAACTTAAAGAATGCAAAATTATTATTAAAATACAAACCTTCGACCACTCCCCAAGGATATTTTCTACCACGCACTTTCTTTCCGTCATGTTCAATGACTGTGTTAGCACCGACGATTGCAAAAGGTACTCTATCTCGAAGGTGTTTGTTTACTTTGTTGCTATCTTCTTCCTCTACTTCGGTTTCTGGGAATTCGTAGATCTTTATTTTGTGCTGTGCTATTTCGTTTAAGATCTGAAAAAAAAAATGATTAAACGTTTTATTGTAAAACATGGAACAACTCATAGATTATGAACAACAATTAAAATTCACCTGTTTTTTAAAGTAAGCACACTCGTCAGGTGTCATGGTGTCAGCCTTGGCAATGACTGGTATGATGTTGACTTTGTCGTGAAGTCGCTGCATGAATTCAACATCGAGGGGTTTCAGACCATGGCCAGAGGGTGCGACGAAATATAAGCAGCAGTGAACTCGACTGTCCGGGATTTGACGACGTACCACTCGAGACTCGGCGTTCAAAAACTCTTCATATTTGTTTTCAATGTAATCAATTACCGGATGCCAGCTGGAACAGACAGTTTCGTTCTCTCATTCACATCTACAGTTCTTGTTTGTTTTTACAAAATCGATTCCCTACACGCTTAAGAGCTTATTATGATATCAATCTATTTTCACGAGAGATAATATACAAAAAATCTACTCAACTTCGCACTTGGAAGTGTTTTAATCCACTTTAGATTCAATTATCGATAATACTAATTTTCTGTAAAACTAAAGTTAGCAAGGAGCAAGGCAAATCAGTGAAAAAGTATTTTAGCTTGAAAAAGTACTCGAAAAAAAGTGGGTACGAATAGTTCTGCGTACGACAGAACAATTGAGTTATATCTCGAGTTGTTTGAAAGTGGAAAAAGTTTCATAACAGCGAACGACAATGCGAAATGAAAGGCTCTCTCAAGAGCTCTGCGCGGAGATCCAAAGATTAATGCCGTTCCCTCGTGAAGTGCAGCGTCGCGCACGCAGAAAAAGAAAAGAGACTTTGTTGTTGTTGCTTTTTTTCCATACCAATTGCTATTGTCCACGGCGTCGCCGAAGCCGGGCGTGTCGACGATCGTGAGAGTGAGATTGACACCATTTTCTTTGAGCAGTACCTTGCTCGTCTCGACGGCCACGGTTTTCTTTATTCTCAGACTTGGGCCTGGATGCTCGGCGCTGTAGATGTCCGTGAGGAAGAGTGAATTGATCAGCGTTGATTTTCCTAGACCCGATTCACCTGTCATATGATAATAAAAATAAGTATAATCAATAGAAAAAAACATCAAGAAAAAAGAGCACACTTGTATTATGAAATATACGTCACGAACCACGTATACCGTAATATAAACGAAAATGATACAACAACTGTTTCAACTGTTTTGCATGAAGTCGAACAATTTACCGAGTGAATACCGAGTAAATGCGTGCCACAATAAATGTTTGCGACGGAAGTTTCAGCGGTACTCGTTGTGCATATACAATTTGAAACTGTTCCCGGCATCTTTTTGTGTACGCACATAAGGCCATGCATCATACCGACAATACCGACGTAACAACATGCGCGACGAACCGCGAGTCAAATTTTCTACATTCCAGCTTTGCAATAATGCCTCTGATGATAAACTTAAAAAATTGTAAGAATTATTTAGTGCTTTAAAATGGTACTAGCGAGTCATGAGAAAAAACTGACACAAGCTGAACTTCTTTGGAGCAAATATCACGTAAACGGTGCGACTCGAAAAAGAAAACATCGTTCGCGAGAATACGTTCAACGATCAAGAATAAAGCTGGCGGTTGTTCGTATTTTTTCAACTACAAAACGCCGCGTTCAATGCGGAAAATACACGACTATCGACGCATTTACTCAAATTGCTTTTCATCTCTAGCTGCAAAGCTTGAGATGGAACACGAGTATTGCGGCGATGCCAAGTACTTTTCCCCCGTCGCTATGTAGCACGTAAGCCGAAATTTAATTTAATTCAAGACCACACGCGTCCGGCTTAATCGTTTGTTTTCATTCACAAAGCGACTTTAAGGTTTATGGCTGCTCTTATTGAGATCACCGGTTCGTTTTGCTATTTTATTTGGCTCTTTTCTAATGCAAATAACGCATGATTTGGTGTTTGGATCTACTTTTCTAAAATCGGCTTGGAACAAATCAATATGACAATTGCGCAAGATTCATTGTCTCCGAAAGCAATCTCGAATTGTTAAAACTCTAGTAGCTAAGTTTGATTCAACTTAATTTGAAACAGTTAAGCTACCGCAGAAGATTAATCAATATAGAACGGAGACACTAAGACCGGAGATTAATGACGAAGTAGATCATTTAATTACTGTGAAAATTCTCTATCTATCCTCCATCTATCTATCCTCGTAACTTAACATGTCCTCGAGATACGTTGAGCTTATACGCATTAGACCGAGATGACATTACAAATGCATACATTATCTTCAGAGCGATTTTCAACAAGTCGCGATGATACGCTTCGCTATTTTTATTTTTGAATTTCAACTCACCAACAACCATGAGCGTAAAGTCGAATCCTCTTTTCACGGCTTTTCTGTAGACCTGATTGGGCAGATTCGCGAAGCCCACGTAGCCGTCGAGCTCTTTGGGTTTGGCCGGTATGGCGGGCCGGGGCGAGGCCGCCACCACCGTGGCAGTGTTGTTGGCCGCGGCCGTCGCGGCGGCCTCTCGGGCGGCAGCCTCGCGGGCGGCCTCGCGCTTGTTGCTGTCCTCGTAGCCATCGACCTGGCTGTTGTTCAGGGCCTGCACCGAGGTCAGGCGAGTTTTGGCCGGGCCCGATGGCGGTGGGGGCGCCGTCGCGGCCGAGTTGTTGGTCGTCGAGGCCGGCGTGGCTGTAGGCGGCTGGGGCGGCGGCACCGAAGGCACCGTGGGCGCGCCCGACGACGGCGATGTGCTCTCGCCTTTGAAGAACAGGTCGCGCTTCGTCTGGAGCTGCAAGTCGAAATGAAACAGCGAACTTGAGACATTTTTCTTTGATTATATTTACAAACAAATTTTACAATTGAATGATACCAAAATTAAATTATGATTGAACTTTTTGGACTGGCAAAAATTTTAAGACAATGTAAATAAATATAGGAAAACGTTCGGATCACTGGGCAATCTAACCCTCCTATAGGGAAATTGTTTCAGATAAGATGGTATTTCTTACGTTGTTAAAATCAAGTAATTTAAACACAATATTTACATTATTTTCGCCTGAAATTTCTAGATTCTGGTTCATTTTAATTTTTCAATACCCAGGACGTATTATGACGTTTTATATTGAGAGGTTAACAATTGCTGCATGTTTTCGCAGCGCTGTCTTGTTTGCCTTGGTGGTTTTTTTTTAAATTTTCAATAAAAGTTTAGTTTTCAATGAAAAACAAACGGAGCATTCTGTAAAATACACATAAAAAATATACACTAAAAAAGTCCGATTGCAACCAAGTTGCATTAATCAAAAGCAAATACGTTGAAGCTCAATCTGGCATTCAACTGCACTTTATAGAAATAAAATAAATATCGGCTAATTTCAAGACTTTTTAACCCCATAAATCTTTTTAATTTTTAAATCGGATACGAATAAACTAGTATGAAAAGACTCGCAAATACGTTAAATTCATATAAATCCGATTTAAAAGCATTTGATTAGTATGCACAAAGCTTTGGCTGTTTGTTATGCAACGGCGAATAAAAACTCGGCAAATCATACATAGCGATAGAGCAGTCATGTGCAGTTTTGCTTCTCGCTGCAAACGCGTCGGTGCAGAAGCCGTCTTCATAAGGAGCGTATAGCGCGTTGCACCGACAATAATATAAGCGATTCAAGTCGCGTGTGCGAAAGCTCGCTATAACGACACAGCCACAACCCCGTTTGCTGACCATAATCGGCGCGCGTCGGTGTGCGTGCATGCGAGTCGAGGATAATCTCGCGCGCGATACGCGTCCGAGAAGAAAAGGAAGCGCAAGCGCAACGACAATGTAATAAATTTCGAGGAATTCTCCTGGCCAATGTTCCGTTACGGGCAGCGATCCATCGCTCGGAATACGAATGGCGTGTCCGATTAATCGAAACTTCCGTCCTCGGATTATAGTGTCACGGCACGACGAGGCGGTTACGACAACTCGAAAAATGCGCAAGCTCCGATCTACTCGTCTTTCTCTTTTCTTCTTAAACTGTGCCTGATGAATAAATTTGGAGTACGTATATGATTTTTCGTAGCTTCAGTTTTCATCACTTTGATATTTGCACCAACTGCAAGTACTTTTTTCTCACAAAAGACTTTAACGAGGAGACTAAATTTGCGTATTTTAGCTTCCAGTGGGAAATTAAATTTTTTACACAGCCTTTGACACCCTTTTGAAGTGTAATAATACTCGATAAAGATTTTTCATTGCACATTTTTCAACGTCACATAGAATATTTGATCGATCAAAAACCACTACAGTTAATTTAGTTCAAACATAACTTAAAACTTCGGCCCTGTGATGGAAGCGTTGAGAGAAGAGTTCATTCTTGAAAAGTTTTATCTTAAAAATAGTTTTTTTTCAAAGAAAAAGGTGTCGCAACTTTTATCATAAAAAAATCAATTTTACGATCTTACCATTAATCTCAAATACTAATATGTTGTTAAGTGACGTTTTTTTTTGTGACTACTGATCGAATTTGATTTAATGCACGATAACTTATTTACGAATCGTCAGTTCGACGTTCAACTTTTTAGGATAGAAAACGAGTGCGCGGGTATTAAAGAAAGATAAAATCGTGTATCGAAGCTTTCTCCGCACGAGAAAGCAAAAGAAGCAAGTGATCGATCGATCGCCGTGTGAAGTTTCTTATCTGGCTCGAGGCCTAACCGAGAGGGCTTTTGAGACGAAAAATACGTCGACAGAAGTTGGTGCTGCGGAGCAAGTACCGATGAGATTTTTTTTCGTCTTTTGCTCCATCTTTATACCCGTCTTCGTGTCTTTCTTTTTTATTTTCTTTTTTTAATCCAATAGCTGCATCGGCGTGACCCGAGAGTAACGAAACAAGCCAGTTTTGTAAAAGTCAAAGCTCGGCAGCAGCTCTCGATTTCCCGAAGGTAAAAGAGTCCCCGATGCGCCAAGTGCTTAAACCTGCTCCTACAAAACGTTACGTTTTCTTCGATTCCTCTTTTCTGCTTTTATATTAATACATAAGCTTTCGTCTCACGTGCGATTTGAAAAGAATCATAACTTCATTGACGCATTTGATTGACTTGATAAATTTAGTTCAGCTTTTTGATTGACCACTTTACAAAAAGGTTCAATCTCGAGGATATTTAATAAGACAAAAATGCGGTGAATGATTAATTAGCGGAGGATTATCTATGAGGAAGCCACTTTAATGAATCATTGTGTAGTCTAATGGAACTAATTAAACGGCGTTGTAAAATAACGTTTATGTAGCAAGTTAACGCTGGCACGCCTCTCTCTCTCTCTCTCTCTCTCTCTCTCTCTCGTGGCTACGGCATTTTACAAGTATTCAGCATCGAGTTGTTGGCTCAAGATGGAAGAGAAAAAAAATCAACCCATGCTTTTCAGACCCTTTGCATGTTTCTAGAAGAAATAACCTATTCAACATGCTCTAAGCCACTCCATAAGAAGCTTTCAACGTGAAATATTAAATTGCGCTCGGAGCTTTCTCGGAGTGCGTCAGAAACGCGCTGAAAGGTTTATTGCAAATCTGAAAAAATATGAAACCCTAGAAATAAAGAAATGGCCTATTGAGGTGAAAAAGAAAAATCGGAAGAACTACAAATTCGTTGAAAAGTTGGAATTCCATATTCTCGATGAAAATTATTGACTACAGTGAAAAATAAAAGGGTATGATGATATTACCTTTCATTATCAATTAAATTGAATGAGCTTTATCCTGAAAGAATGAAGTGAATTTTATCGAGCAACTCGAGCTAACCCGGCATTGTACATCAAAAGACAATTTTGCGCAAAAGCTGAAAGTCTTAGGGAAATTGCCTAGACCGAAGTGCAGCGCACGAGTATATAAACCACGTTATGAGCTTTACGCAGCATTGTCTGTTACGTAACAGGAGTATTGTCATGGAATATGTAACTCGTATTATTCCGTACGCAAACAGAGCTGGTATGTGTATCGTAAAGCCGGCAAAGCCGCGGAAGAGAGTCAAGCTCGTATTTGCAGTTCACTGTATATAGTTACTCTTCCGAACTATCAACTTATTGTCCCGAGTTGCCAAGATCCTGCACGTAGAGAAGAGACGCGGTGCACACACGCGAGAGACCGACGATCGGAATATTGCTCCGGGGCTCGTATTAACGCAAAGTTAGAAATGTGTTCCGAAAACATTTTACAATAATTTGTACAGCGGCAGCCGGTAATGGCGTTCGCGTTGTGAGAACATGCACATTTATAACTAGTTCACGTTTCTGCCTCCCGATGAAAATGGATTCTTATGGAATTTACGCTTCAATTACGGCCTTAATTTAATTACTTTGTATGCTCACACTAGGTGCTTCGGAGTATGAAGAAATTAATTTTCACGATGCAATTTCACAATTTTCATCTAAAAATTTAAAATGCTCCGCGCGCGGAATTCCAAACATAAAATTAACATATTTTTTCTTTGTCATAATGAAAATGTAGCAATAAAACTGGAAACGAATGGCTTTTTAGCGCGAACTTTTACGCTCGAAAGTTTCGACGATAAATTGCACATTATAATCAACTTAAAACGTGCTTATATATTTCAAGCCTTCGAAAAACATCCTCTGTTGCTGCACAGTTTTAATAAACATACATTTAGTTAATATTACTCGCCGCTTTGATTTACTTCAACATGCTGGAGTGTACGCCTGAGTTAACCGAAAATTAATTTCCATACATCGCATCGCAGGCGGGAGAAGCGTCTTCGCATGAGGAGGCGTGAAAAGTTCACGAACGCTGCATCGCGCAGGGCTGTCAGTCAAAAGATCCAGACTTCAGACCATATATAACTTGGTAAATGCACTCGGGTGATTGATTTTGCATCGCGTACACGGGCGAGTGCTGACCCGGTCTTTTTTGCTCTCGAACGTTTCCGACTGCACTGTGCACACACACGTACAAAAGTCTGTGTTGAGCAAAAAAAGCTACATCGGCTTTGAATATCGTGGGACAATATAACGTGGAAATGAAGAGCAGACGATTTTTGCCAGCAAAAAAGAATCGAAATCTGGGATCTAAGAGAAATGACCTAACTCTTTGGCTTTTAATACACGAATTAAAACGCAATTTTGAATGCGCATTGATGTTACTTAATGCATGCTTGATTTAATTTGTGCTTCGCGGGTGGTTTTCTTAGCCATCATTTTGACAGTTAAATGCTTTGTTTTGGAACGCTGTGTGCTTTTTATTCTTAGCGCGTTAAATTTAAAATAATTCATAGTCAGCTCAAAACTTGACGATCTAGACCACTTTTGTTTTAATAACTGCTTTTTCAAAAAACTTGCTAACTTATTTTTTAAAAGTTAAGATAACTATCAATTGGATGTACAGTTGAAAATGCATGAGCTCATTGCACGAAACATGAACACCTACCGCAAAATTGAAAGAGGCAAAAGCTTGAAATTCTGCTGTTATTTTAATTAAAAACTGTTTGCAAACCAGTGAACTAAGCATCGCTAATGTTATTGCAATAAAAGTGCGTTATAAACGCGCCGGTACGTTCATAAAGTTGTCAAGTCCTAAGTTTGCGACAGTGCCCGTAAAGCATTTAATTTATTAGGTTTTTCATTCGGTCGAAATTGAAACAAAATGAATGTTATGTTGAAATTGCGCAAACTTTTACGAATCTAGCTGCTCTTTTTATGCAACAACGTCCGTCAGAAGGATGTCCTTGTAAGTGTCCTTACACCTCGACAAAAAAGGGCTTCGTACAATGCATCAATTTCGCAAAATATGAACGTACTCATACTCGTATACAATGTGCGCGTACAGTAACATACGTGTGTTCTTGCACACATAGAAGCGGGAGAAAGTAAGGCCTCACGCGTAAACTGATCAGTGGCTCTCATTTTGACGCGGAGCAGCAAAAAGAAAACGGTAGGCGCTTGCAGCGGTGGAGGCCTCGATTATTGATCCTTGAAGGGGGATGTTTTGCGTCGCAAAATTTCATTGCTTCGAGCTAGCGACCTAATAACAAGTGGCTGCAATCGAGTGCCATGTGGGACTTGATGGATTTTCTAACAATCGCAATCACAAACATCTTGTACTATGCTGTGGTGCATTTTCAGATGATTGCATGAATTGCGACGAGAAAGAATAAAATTCATAACTAAATGAATGGTCAATTTAATGAGTGAGGAATCTAACAAAAAATAAATCTAGAAACATATTTGCCGTCGAAAAGAATAGTTATAAACAAGTTAATAGATAAAAATATTTGTAGATAAAGTTATTCATTATTTATAAAGGTATTAAGTAATAGCTATCTTTATAAAATACCGACAATAAAAACAAGCCTTCCGGAAACTCCAAGCTCGAGACAAAAGAACGAAAGCAAAACAAGTGCGCGATACGAGCAAAAGCCTTAGACCTTTCGTCCCAGCACACACGCTTTCATACGACGCTCGTGCTGCGTGTCTGTGTGTAGGCACACAACAGAAGATTTTCACTTGTGCCACCCTCGACACCCTCGATTTTCGAAAGTGAAGCGCCGCCGCCGCACACACGCAGTGCACGACCCTTCTCTCGACTACAACGTGTATACACACAGAACCCAAATATGTCTGCGATCCGTAACTAACGCGACGAGCAAAATATACGGATCTCTCGGCAACAGCGAGCTCGCTTTTTGAACGTTGCCATCCTCTCGCATGCGTATGAACCATAAACTTTGACTCTTTTCGCTTGCTACGCCATGATACCCGACGAATATATAATAATTCAAAAAAATGTGCTCCGTGAAAATAATACATTTGTTTTGCGAATTATTCAAGGTTGAATCGAATTACCTACATTTATTTGAATGAAAATTTTTGACGTTATTTGCTTGATTCACCTGATGAAACGCTGTGAACTCTTTTTTATTATTGCTGCCTTTGCTTCTTGACTCATTCATGCATCTACTATCACTTTATCGCGGTCTACTTTTTAATATCGCATATCTTTGAAATTGCTCCGTTAGTCGATGACGCTGATGCATAAAGGCACTCTTGCCTGCAAGTGCGCACCAGCTCTCGTTTTTATTAAAGATTATGGGTACAAAAAATGTCAATAACTATAACAGTTCCTATCGTGCTGAGGCTTTTTAATCACTTTGGCAAACTACTATATCTCCAGAAGCATTAAAAATTTGACTCTCACTAATAAAATGGTTAATACGGTTTGATAGCTCATATTCACATGTATTTTCTATGGCTTAGGAGTAAGATTTAATTTCAATGAAAATGTATTTAATACATTTTTTTTAGAATATTAGATGGAAGCAATAAAAAAAAATAAATAAGATTGAAGTCAAAATGTTTACATGTAGTTATAAATCAGAAAATCCACTCGTTATTTACCCCAATAATTTTATCATTCTAATTCTGTGAGATTGAAATGAATGGGACATTATTTTGTGTAAGCAAACGAATCTCATTCATCATGTTTGCAGTAATTGTAGACTGACAAATTGGAAAGTTGCAACGAAACGACGGTGATACTTATTGATATTTCGCATCGTTTCTTACGCTATATCAACTTGCAGTTTTTATTCGATACGCACTCGTATGAACTTGGATACAAATAAGCAGAGCGGATCGTCAATGCATGAGTATCATGTTATCATGCTTGTTACTCGATATTTTCAAAGGTCTCAAGATAAATAAAAAATTGTTTTCCTTCTTTCCCAAAGAACCAATATGGACCTTTGAAGTCTGAATTATTCCATTTTATGCGTAGCACAAACGTCATTATCGATTCATTATTGCAAGCACGTGCACATACATAGACACAAAGGCATGATATCCAGTTTACGAAGCATCGCTTAAATTAATTGGGCCACTCTCAAGGCTCGAGAACGTTCCATCCTTACCGAATTAGCATCCCCGTTGGTCTTTGAGGCGTCCCCGTCGAAGTTCCTCTGCCTCATGGCGAGCCTGTCGAGGCTGCTCAGTCTGTAACTACCGGCGCCGGCCTCGCGTTCCTTGGCCAGGCGATCGATCGCCGAGCCCGTGCCGTTGCTGCCCGCATTGAAGCTCGAGGTGTACTTGGGCAGCGTGGGCGGCGGCGCCTGTCTCGCGGTGATCTTTTCCGTTCGCGAGGACGCGCCGATGCCGGCCGTGGCGGCCGAGCCCAGCAGCGAGTTGCCGCTGTAGAGGAACGACGAGTTCGTGGTGGTGCGAGTCGACGAGGCGCTGCTGCTGAAACTCGACAGCGTCGGCGCCTTCAGACCGTTCGTGTTCGACGAGGCCGCTGACGCCGACGTGCCGTTCAGTTGGGCCGTGGTGCTGTTTTCCGTCGACATGTTGATGCTGTTGCGAGACGTGTACCTCGCGTTCGAATTGACAATTGAAAATGTACGAGGTGCGCTACGCGCAGTTTCTTCCTTTTGTCAAGGGCACTTCGCTGAATTCGTTTTTCCTCGTAGCTTTATGCAGCTACTCGCGCGGCAGATTCTATAAAAGAACAGACATGTAAAAACATCACGTAAATAGAACTCAGTTGTACGAGTACACATCGCCGCGCTGAGAAATTGCATTCGAGCTTCTTCGAAACCTTGACTCGAGCTTAATCGAGACCTGACTTAAGAATTGAATAACGGGAAAGCTAGGGCGTAATGTGATCATCCGAGTTTTTGGCAAAATATTCAATCATCCTTAGGAACAATTCATTATTCACTTCAACGCTTTCGCACTTAGTTTTAATAATCGCTGTCCCGTCACATAAATCAGTAGGTAGTAGTAATTAAACTTTCAACTAAATTGATCGATGGCTTCGACAATCTTAGCGAGGCACCGCCAGCAATTAAAAAAAATAATCGTTCAATTTATCCTTCGATTATAAATGGTAATCGACTAAATTTGTTTCAAAGTAGTTCGAGATATTATATTGAGCCTCCAAAGAAATAAATAGCCAACTGGCTAATTCAGCTTGTTTTGATTCCACAGAACGCCGAGCGTCCAACGAGAGAGACGTCGGACAAGAGAAAAAGCACGAGACTAGTACGAGAAGAAAGCCAACGAGAGCAGACAGCAAGATAAACTCGTGTCGGGTAAATAGTAGAATATGAGTTGGCGAGCGAGCAAAAAGTCAACAACTCGGTGCACACGAGTGCATAATACGTGCGCGCCGGTCGCCGGATGATGAATGGCAATCGAAAGATGCACAAACGTTCGCATGTACGCTCACACACACGGACAGGAAGAAAAAGAGCCTCGAAGATATTACAACTCGATATGCCTACGGTATATGCGCGAGCATATAACGGCGGAGGCACGCACAATCGTCGATGTCAGAAAGACAAGCAGGAAGTTATTCTTTTATATTGCAGTTAATACGCGAAATCCAGCGCGCGCGGGCGCACAATCATACTTTATGCGACTGCAAAAGACCCTCTGAATAAATAAGTTTTACATGTGATGCATGCGCAGTGTGGCGAAACATGCGTCGGCCTCAATTTTCCTCGCTGCGTGCATGAACCGGAAAAACAAAAGATTACAATTATAAGCCAAAGCAATTGCAATCATCGAGCCGATATGCTCGATTTTGATTATGCCACTGATATGTGTGCCAATGTCATAATTCGTTGTTGCTCGAGACTTTATGATTTGACAACATAAATAAGCAAGTATTTCACAAATAATCGTTGAGTTATTTAAAATTTAACGAAAAAATGTACACATTTTCCATGCGAATGGCAACGACTTTTTCATAGACAAGGTTGCATTAATGAATGACGATTCACAATTATTGATTATAGGAAATTATTTTTCCATCGAAATCCATTTACTGCGATAGGCATTTAATTTGATGCCAACGACGAACCAAGAGATACATTAAATTATATGATTTCTAAATAAGAAGTCATCGAGGAAACATGCACAGCAACGATACTTGTATCGACACAAGGGAATAAAATATTTCTACGAAGTCAATCGTTATCTTTATAAGTCGTTCGGTAAAAGAAGGAATGAAAATCGCGAAAATGATGCCGCTCTGCCTCGAAAGGAAAACTGGTTCTTTTTCTTTTTTTTTTTGTTATTCGAGAGCGCGTTCAAACAAAATGTGTGTGTGCAGCAGCACGTTTGTGGATGCAGCAATTGTAAACGTTCGTGCTCACGTCTGCGCCATGCCATATGCGTGCGCGTGTGTATGTATACAACCATGTGTACAACCGCAACGACAAATATTAGTGCTTACGATGCTTTACTGGCTTGGAATGTCAATTTGCGCAATTGACCTCTTATACACACACACAAACAGTCTAACGAATTGTTAGCTGCGCTCGTCAAACGACGATTTTTGACTTTTCTCTACTTTAATAGCGAAGAATCAACGATAATTTTATTTTCATAATATTACACCTTCGAAACGAATGAAGAAGCTTTGCCAGTTTTTACGAAATCATTTTCATTTGAGAGTAAAAAAATGTTGGCCAACAGTTGCCTCCGTTCTTCACTTTTTTAATACCTTTGCAAGAATAATGTTCACTCTGCCGAAATTCAGGTCGCCGCGCTAGCGATTCCACGCAATTATTCTTCAAAAGCGCGAGGAAGAAAAGCACCAGCAGCAGCCTACACTGGCTATACCATCGCAAACGTGCCGGGGACAATGAATGCAAAAATGCCAGTAAAAATACTTGGCTTTATTGTTATCCAGCGTGAAATCGAGCAGCGCGCTATGTGCGTAAATGAGGTTTTCGTTCGTTAAAATTCAGCAGTGAGAAAAGAACAGACTGCATAGCGTTGTATTGTGCGCGCAGGCAAAAAATAAGCCTCGCGAGTTCTTTAACCCATCGCCAGGCGCAACTGTCAATCGTTGCGCTTGATACTTGATGGAACGAAATCCAATTGAATGAGAGGCAATACTTCTGAGAAATCGCTAATTCCTGTGTTTAAGCAATTTCGTCATTTTTGCAGTGGAAAGCGCGCAATTAAACGAAAGAGATAGTGACACACTGATCCGAAAACCAAATATAAACTCTCGAAGCGTCAAGAATATGCTTTTCAAGAGTACTGGAAAAGTCAAATTGAAAATACATCGACCCTTTCCTTGTATAAATAAACACATCAGAAGCGGAATAATCAATACGCTATAAAAAGCTATTGCTTCGACACAGATTTTTTCGGTAATTGTGATAGCACGCTAATTTCTTGATCAAAGTTACAAACGAAATAAAGTGCGAAAATGGTATTCAGTTTTAGTACACTGAAATGAAGATCACCCCAACGCAATTCAAGGAGTCTCGCGCGAGATTTTAAAATCAGGCACTTGCAATCGAGGAAAGATAAATGAGCCGAAAATTGCAATCCGATAAAACTCGCGGTGAGAGCTACCGCATTACGAGGCCATGAATCGTTCGTTACTTCCCTCTCTTGGAACAAGCCCGTAGCAGCTCGGCGAGCTACTTCCATCTGTAAATTGACGAACCAGTTACCACTTGGTACATGCACTAATCAACGCGAAAAGAGATTTCGCAATCGACATTTGAACTTGACGCGCCGAGTCGAAAAAAGAAGAAGTAGAAAACACAACGGAGCGATGGATAATCGCGTTCTTTCATTATTTTAGCTCAATTGAAACGTGAGTTTTCATTCACGAGGGGTTTCTGGTTTTTTTCCTTTTTCATTTTTTACATCGAACAAATGCTCGCGAATGAACGAAAAATCAAGCACTCGTCGTTGAAATCCCTCGCGGTTAATGTAACCGAATTAATTTCGCTTCTCGGGTCGAGTGCAGAAAGCAGCAGAAGAATAAGGCACGAAAAAACAATCGAGCATAATAAGTTTTAATTGAGGCATTTTTTCTTCTTTTATTTCGGAACGTAGCGAGAAAGAAGAGCTCGAGAAGAGAGTATAAGTGAAGATTTGTGCGCGAGGGCAGCAGCGCCAAAGCTCGACAATCTCAATTTACGAAATACAAGAAAAGATTGTCTTCAGGTCGCGTCGTATAACGGCTACAAAGCAAATGATAAAATACGTATATTCGTAAGCGAGAAAGAGATTTTACTATACTACGTCCAACTGATAAGGACGAGGGAGAGAAAAAAATACGAATAATCAATTTCTCAGTCCGTAGAAACTACGTATACAGAGACGCGAAACGAGAGCATCGCTTCTCGTTAACGCAGCCGAGAGAGAGAGAGAGAGAGAGAGAGAGAGAGAGAGAGAGAGAGAGCAGTTGCAGCTCGACTGAAAAAAAAGGGAGAAGATTGAACAACGGGTAATCGATTATTTCGTTTGCATGGCGGATAAACGTCTACTACACTTACATGGATAAATACAAATTTGTGTATCGTGTATCGGATGAAACGTCCAAATCACATAAGATGCCAATGGAATTTTATCTTGTGTGAATGAGCGAAGCATCGGTGTGTCACGATTATTGCTCTGTATGGTATATAAAAAATAAAATAAAAAAATCAAGTACTCCGTGAAGCTCGAATTTCAATTTCTCAACGCAGCATCGTCGTCATCGTCGTCGTTGTCATCGCGTCAACGATCAAAAGTTTTTAAACATATTACATCGCACAGAACTCGACGATATATAACTACATAAAAGAGAAAAAGAGAGGCTCTCAAGAGGGAATGAGAGAGTTTCGATCAAAAAGCGCGACAGATGTATAAATATAACCACACTATAATTACACACGTGACGAAGACGTGTAGCAGCAGCAGCAACAGCAGCTGGAAGAAGGCAAAAAAAAAAGCTGAACTGACGCGAGGCGTTTCACGGTCTCTCTTGCAATATATAGCATGCATAGAGAGACATTTTGGAGGTTATATTTATCAAACAGTCGGCCGGAGCGGGCAGCAGCAGCAGAGCCTGAAGTAGTGGTGATGCTGCTGCACTTATCTATCGAGCTTATTGTCTCTTTGGCACGATGAGCGAGCAAAATAACAACAACAACAATTCAACGCGTACGACGCGTCAATTGCTGCATCGGCTTATAAAGCATTGCTCTGCTCGTGCGCGATACTTGTGGCACTTGCTAAACAAGCGGCAACGGTATAACAACAACAGCATCGGCATCAGCAGCAGCATTTGCTCATTATACATGCGTCAGGATGCAGTGCTTATATATCCGAGCGAAGGTAAATATGTATAAGTGCATACGAGACAATTAAGCTCAATTTTGATCGTGATTATTTACTATTCTCTCTTTTTCTCTTTTCACATATTTCTTTATCTCTCTCTCTGGCTCTTTTTTCGGATGCGCTTGTGCGTATCTCATCATTTTTTTTCATTTCGTACGATTCGTATACGATCGACGCACACGAATACGGCACAAGCGCGCAAAAAAAGAGAAAGAGAGAGAGATAAGAGGTTAGGCGAGGCCAAAACAACAATAATAATAATAATGAGGAACAATGAGCGGCGTAAATGACGCTCATTATACCTGGCTTCGAGTCTCGATCTCTACCTTGTATAGTATATCAAAGGGCAGGCTGTGAACGTCTTTTGAAAAGCGTCTCCACTGCGTGCACACGTTTATTTATTGATCGGGCGACCTATCCGATCTTCAGTGTAGGCGCGTGCAGTATTTATATGTAAAAAGCCGGCTTGAGTTTGTTGAGAGTCCGCTGCGCGCACAACACACGACGACGACGAGAAGCACAGACACACATATACGCGTGCAGCAGCGGGGCACACAACACACTTCCTCTTCTTGTCCGCGGCGGGCGAAGACTGAACACTACTCACGCGCGCACTCGACAGAGCGAGAGAGAGAGACTGCCGCGGAATAACAACGCGCACGCACGACGAAGAGCGCGCGGATAGTAGTAGTAACGTAAGTAGTTTGCGTGAGTCAAGACTGCTGCTGATGCTTATATGGAGCTCTGCTCCTTGTGTGCGTATATGGGCGCGCTCCGTATATATGTATAATTCCAGTACGTGTGTCGGTGAATATATGAGCACTGACCAAGTCTCTCTTGTGTGCGTGCGTATGTATGTATTCGCGCGCGCCCTTTGTCACGCACAGACGCACAGACGGCGGCCACAAAACGGATTATATATATGATGATATATACGAATGTATATGTGTGTGTGTGTATGCGCGGGTACGACGATACTACACACGACACTGTACGACGTCTCTTTTTCGGAGCTCGCGAGGCACAATGGAGTTCGCGTTCGGAGTCACCGTATATACTTCACTGATTACGTTACGTCCGCTTTATTTTATAAGATATAATATGTGTGTTGTTTAGTTCACTCGCTCGTCACAACTATATATAGCTATTTTGTAAAGCGATATCTATTCTCTTATAGAGAGAGAGAGGCAGGCGCGTGCAACGAACAGCGTCGAAAACACGACGAACGGCGCGTGGAGGTGGAGGAGTCAGCGGCGGCGGTGGCGTTAGCCCCCCCTAATATCAGTAGTAGTAATAGCAATGACGCCTCGTAGACGACAATATTATGCTGGCACTATCGAGCCGGTACGAGCGTGAGTCGAGTAAAAGCCGGCTGCAGTTCATACTACTTGGGCACTACTACTGTGCTATGCTGCTGCTCCTTCTTGGCGCACATGCCCCCAGCTTCTCTGCGCTCTCTCTCTCTCAATGCGGCAGCGGAGCACGACGACCTTGATCTTGCCGTGTGTGTGTGATGCACAGCACGCGCAGCGCCAGCTGAAAAGCTGCACACGGCCGATTGTATTTATAGAATCACTATGAGAGGCACACCTACGCAAGACACGACAGGAGTTACCGTGTCGAGGAGTCGAGTTCGGAGCTCCGGCAAAATTATCAACACTGCGGCCGACGTATACAAGGGTTAAAAAGCGTGCGGCGTGTATGATAGATAGGCAAAGGGGGGTTGCTATATAGCGCGAACGTCGGAGTAGTGCGCGGTGCGCGAAAATGACGTGCTCGACGGCAGTGGTGGCTGGCTGCTCACTGGAGAAGCTCGCGCTATTGCGAACGAGCCGGAGCTGCAGTATATACAACGCACGAGCAGAGGATAGGCAGCAGCAGCGCAGCGCACTCGAGCCGACACAGCCGCACGACCACGCCTGGCGCAGCTGCGGACGTCCGCGCCGAGTGGGGGCAGAAGACAGCCGCAGCAGCAGCCGTAGTAGTAGTAGTAGTAGTAGAAGCAGCGGCAGCGGTGCGCACGTTTCGCGCACACATTTCGCAGCTTTGCTCTTTCGGCATATTACACATGCCTATGTTCGAGACCTATGCAGCATGCACGCGTGTACGCACGTATACTTGTAGCTATAAAGTACAAGGAGTAAAAAGTACCCTTTTCCATATCTGTACTACGCACGAGCCTTCGTGCTTCTAATACTTCGAATATTGTGTTTTTTTATGCGTTTTCTTTCTTTTTTCCCCACAATGACGTATACGGCTTTGTTTCACCGTGCAAGCAATGATTACACTTACGAATCGACGGCGGAGTAAGCTCTCTTGTACTCGATTACTCGTTTTCTGTACGTTTCTTATACGCGATGAACTTTTTTTGTATGAGTGATGAAGGGGGAAAACCGCGAATGATTCATACGAAGCAAACGTGACTTTTTTACCTATGAACTTTACACTTTGACAACAATTTTTTCATCATTTTTATTCACATAATAAACAAGCCAAAGCAATTTTTAGTTATGTGAAATAAACTGGTTTGCATTGAAAAAATTAAAAAAGCATCGTAAAGTTGCAGTTTATGTAAAAAAAATCGTACTTTTGCAATGATCAGCATATTGGCGTCGCGTTCAGCGATTAGCCCACAACCACATAAATAAGTCGCCTATGATATTATTTTTCTAAAAAGTAACATTCGATGGTCTGGGTACTTGAAAAAAAAACATAAGGCTCCCGAGTGACGCAGCGATATAAAGCAAAAAAGCTCCAAGCACGATATGATTCGCTTTATAATGCCGGATATCCCATCGCGAATGTGATATATCGCTGTTTCATTCGAGCGTCTAGGCGTAGAGAGCACGTCACTTTGCTCTCGTGGCTCTTCTCGCACACGTATGTATTAGTAAAATAGTTAAAACCAGTAGAAGGAGCTTCGGCAAAGCCACGAAGAAAACGTAAAGTTTGTTAAGAGCGTAGCGAATCGACGGGCTTTCGATCTATTTTTACACATTTTTAGTGTACATTGCATACTGTACAATACTCTGCATTACAGGAGCAGAAAACAAGCCCTCGTATTACGCGTTACACGCATAAAATTCGAGAGCAACGCGCGAGGTATAGAAAAGGAGCGTGCGAATGTCATTGCTATACAGCAATGAAAAGTCAGCAGCGTAAGTAATACGTTGATAGAGTAGTCGCAACTCGGCGCAACGATATGCGCACTGAACAGAAGCTCGGAACGCCATATAGCACATAGGTATACTCTTTATATGCAAAGGACTTGCACATACAGGGAGGACAGGTCGTTTGCATTTCATTGCTGATTTATTATTATATACGCTGTACGTTTGTTTTGTCATGCCTGACGCGTGCACAAACACTCGCGCGCCCGAGTAATTGATAGCTGACCTGCAGTTTACGGTTTACCTGGCGTGTATCGGTATACAGATGCAGCAGACACAACTGAAAGCCGAGAGAGAGAGAGAAGCTTACTTTATGCGGCACCGAAACACGAGTACGCGTCTATCGTGTGTCTAATAAATTTGAAAGCTCTCGCGCGTAGGTGGTGTACAGTGTATAGTACGCAAATGGAACTCAATAGAAGAAGAAGAAGAAGAAGAAGCCGTGCGGCTCATGACAGACGAGTCAATAAGTGCAGTTAAGATTCAAAATTTGATCGATAGTATAGTAATACATCTTTAAATGAGTAAAATATTCACTTATTGCAGATATTTTCGATTGTGTTGTTGACAAACAATCACCAGAGTACAAATTAATGATCATTTTTCATTATAAGCAATTATGATAACACAAAATAATTCTGAAAAAGTGAATACAATAATCGTACGAATATCTCTCTCCATTATAATCGTATTATTTCGACAAAAGCGTCATACTTTACAAATCAAGCTTACCGCACAAAGACAATGGTGTACGCACACGTTGTTTATATCGATATCGTATTATGAGCCCGATGTATATATTTCGCTGTATAATACCATTGCATTATATACGTACATAAAATATAATATCATTAAGCACGAGCTGCAGCGATAATGTCAGCCTTGACTGATTGCTCTGAAAATTCATTCCTCCCATCCGGCATCCAGCGTACAGGGACCTTTAACGAGCTTTTGCAGTTCGATCTATTATAGTACGTGCTATATATGGGATAGCTGATTCACCAAGAGGCGTACGTAGCATCTAAAAGCGAGCGAACGTTAAGAGCCCAAGGGCGCCAGCTCGCAGGATTCGAGATTGCGCCGAGGCTTCGTCTCCCGTACAGACCATCCACGGCGCGGTTTTTCAAGCTCCTCGTATGCGCGATAAATACAAACGTGCGCGTATGTGTATAGGATTTCCTATTGCACGGCGGAAGGATACCATACTACATATAAGTTAGTGCGCGCTCACCTAAGGATACATAGAGACTTGATTTATAGACGGCAGAGGCAGACATTCGCGCGGTTGCGAGAGCGGCACAATAAGAAGCCAGACGCTTTTATTTACCCGCGCACGGAATTGCGCGAGCTTTTCCACTTTTCTCTGGGTGTGCGTGCATTCTCCTCGCTCGACGTGGTATTTTCTGCTGCGACCGTGCAAACGCGCCTTGTATTCCATGCAGATACGCCAGAGACGCGTCGTGCTGCGAGTTTTCGGTGAGATTTTCTTTGCTTATTTCCCGCACATAAAGCTGAGATTCGTAGAAAAACATATTGTGCGATGAAAATTACATTTAAAAGTCATCAATTTTAATCATCATTTCGCTCGGTAAAGTAATGATTATCATTACTTATCATCGTATCACGTGTTACTGATAGAAGTAGTAATGGCTTAGATTATTAAGTTATAAACGCGAGTAAAATAAATGGTAAGTAATTAATAGACTATTTCATTTTTAAATTGGTGGCGATATTTGTTGTTTAATGCTTTGACGGTCAGGTGATTGAGTAAACAATGTTTTATTAACAATATAAGTTTATAACATTTTCACTGCTTTCAAATTTAACAGCGAAGTATGACGATTTCTGGCGTTAGGCGTAGAAACTTGTAGAAACCAGTATTTTCAAAGTTGATTTTATATTTAATTCGAAAACTTTAGAAAAGCCCTATAATTCAAGTTACTGAAACATTTTTATCCTGTACATTGAATTACCTTGAGTCATGGATTCAAAAAACACGTATTACAATAATATCATCCCAACGAATGTATCACTTCGAGTATTATCCCTCGCAGAGAGATGCAGTTGGCTGTGATTTTCACGACTCGAGCCGCGCAGCACTTGGTATTACGGCGACGTATATAATCATCAGCTATATACAGCCGCTCGGTTATAAACAAGATAAGCCATTTTAACATGGCTTCACAGATACACACACACGCGCATATACTCAAGAGATCTGCAACACACATGCCTGCTAGACTGCAATGGAGGATAATCGGAAAAGCGTGTACTGATTCGCATACCACCCACGCATCCATTTGAGCGTAGCTCGCAGCAGCTCTCTCTCTCTCTCTCTCTCTCTCTCTGTCGGATAAGATCTCTCTATAATAGGAAACGACCGGGAGAGAAGCGCATCTCAGACGCGCTGCTGCTGATGCTGCTTGGCCGTGTGCGTACATATTATATACATGCAACGCGTCTCATCAAATCTCTCCATCAAAGTCGGAACTCTCTGACGGTGAGTGCGCGGGCGCGATACCATCTCGTACCGCGATGTAATATATAACGTTATACTTTAGATCGGCCCTCGCGCCGAATAGTAGTAGTCGTACGGGGTGTATAATAATAAGCGTGGCATGCGCGATCGTGCACGCGAGCTCACGATAATATTACACGTAGGCGGGTATATCGTACGGACCGAGAGAGCGTCGTCGATTAGCCGCGCATTAAACGATCGACGGTACTCTCTCGCGAATAAGCCAGGCACGACGTAGTACAAGATGCATTTTCCAGCACATTATTACTATTATTATCATTATTGCGGATATTTTTAAATTCGACAATTGCCGCGTGATTTCGACAACGGAAGAGAGTCGAGGGCCTCCAGGGAGGACAAAATTTATGGTTTCGCGCGCGCGCGTCATCGTACCTTGCACTCGTAATAGATACACACGTACTATACGTGTGGCAGTTCGTGCAGTTGCAGCGCGACAGTTCTAAGATTGCAGATGCATCGATCGATATATACGCGTATATAGAAACTCGTTTTTCCACGTGTCATGCGGGTATTCTTCCGATACATATGCGGATACATATGAAATTCACGCTCGCAGAGTAGAGAACGTAAGTCGAGCCCACATTTTGACTGGAGTCTCTTGCGCCAAGGCATCGAATCCCTTCTTTTTCGCTTGTCTGTGCACACGAGTACATGCATATCGCATTATGTGCCACTATACATATGAGTATGTATGATACCAATATACTTTG